GAAAGCTTCCATCAGCCAAAGCTGTAGGACCTTGTGGATGGGCCAATGACGAATTGAAGTCACTTCCGATATGCTGCATTAGAGACTTGATGTTTATTTTTCAGATGGTGATGTCCACTGGGTTTGGTCCTGGGATGATGATGGCAAAGACTGTCCTTCTGTCGAAAGTGCCGGTCCCGACATCGATGCACCATGCCAGGCCGATTACGATCCTCAGTGGACTATACAGGTTATTTGGAAAGTTCATTTTCAGGATCACTGCAGACATTTGGAAAGAATATTTTCCTTATGAGGTATCGGGTGGTCTCCCTGGTAGGGGGGTCAAAGAACTTGCTTTTGTGCAAAAGCGTGCGATTGAAAAGGCTTTGATGGAGAACAAATCTATTGGTGGATACTCACTTGATCTCATCAAGGCTTACAACACTTTTGGCAGGTATGCTGTGGGTCGCATTATGTGTCGCTTTGGGATGCCTACTGCCCTGGTTCATGCATGGATTTGCAGTCTTGACAAGATGGTGAGGTTCCCGACCATTCAAGGGTGTGTCTCCATTGGTATATCATCTACGACAGGTGTTCCTGAAGGTTGTAGTATCAGTGTGCTGTCCATGCTTGCGACGTCATGCCTTTTTCATGCATGGTTGAAGACACAATACATTCGCCCATTTGCTTATGCTGATAACTGGAGCTGGATGTCGTCTCGCCAACGTGCCCACTTTCAGGCTTATCAACAGGTGTTGAGACTGACATGTGTGATGAGATTGTCAATTGATCATGCAAAGAGCTGGCATTGGGGAACAAAAAAGGACTTCAGAGAATTTTGCAATCACCTTGCCCTTTTGCATCCGGGGGAAGATGTTTCTGTTGTCATCAAGAATGCGGTGAAAGACCTTGGTGAGAAAGTCAATTATGACAAAAGTGCATCCCTGGGTTTCATCAAAGAAAAAATTGATGAGGCTGTAACACGTATGCACCGGCTTGAGTGGCTCCATGCCGCACTACAGACCAAGACGAAGATGTTGCAGGCTTGTGTGTGGCCTTTGGCATTGTACAGTTCTGACACCACCTACATTGGCACGCATCATTTCACATCGCTACGTCGTGCGGCATTGAACTGCCTTGTTGGAAAATGGCATAATGCATCACCGGTTGTGGCCTGCTTTTTTCTGTCTAGGTTCCTCACTGACCCGATGCTGCACACCATTTTGCAATGTCTTAGGATTCTTCGGAGAATTGCCAGTGTCCAACCTGAACTTGCCAATGAAACGATATTGGATGCATTGAGTTGGACTGGCTCTAGACCCTTTGGTCCGGCAACTGCCTTGCGTCAATATTTGAAGAATCTTGGATGGGAACTGAAAGCAGACGGAAGTGTCATTGGACCTGACTACATTTGCTTCAACGTGCTTCATGACTCATGCCGACGTATCACCAAGTTAGCCAGATTGATGTGGTCCCATCACATTCTTGGCATGGTCGATAGGAAAGGTTTTGGTGATCATGTGCCTGACGTAGCGACTTTTCACCGTGTCTTCCATGGACTGACTGAAGAGGAGCAACACTTGACAAAGTTCAATGTTGTTGGTGCCTTCCAGACTGCTGCCCAGAAAGCTAAGTGGGATGAAGATATGTCTGATGCGTGTGAACTTTGTGGTCAACCTGATACTAGGGAACACAGACTTCTCTCATGTCCGATGCTTCAGGAAATCAGAGATGGTGCCCAACATGCTTGTGAGGTCTTGCAACATGAGCGACAAGAGTGGGTTTACCTGCCTATACCCCGTGCGCATGACCAGCTAACGATATTCCGTGCTTTCGTGATGTCTGTGAAGCCGCAAGAGATCATTGCACCCAGGAATTGCGATCTTTCATCTATGAGATTTTTTACTGATGGATCTGCTAGATATCCTCGGCATTCTGTTGCCAGATTGGCAACATGGGCGGTGGTACAGGACATATCTATTGGTGAATCCCAGATGCGACATGCTACTGATTTTTTGTTCCTTTCACCGCCTCAGTTTCCGATGTTTCATGTGTCAGCAGTTGGGATTGTGCCGGGTGACCAAACTGTTGCACGAGCTGAATTGTATGCCATACTGCATGCTGCCAAGCAGGTCAATCTTTGTGAACCGATACCGTCAGTGGAATTTGTCACAGATGCGTCTTATGTGTGTCGAGTTGTTGACATCATTAACTGTTACGTGTTCCACCCAATTCTGCACAAGTTTTCAAATGGTGATCTTATACGGGAACTTGCACAGTATTGGCACAAAGACAAATTCAAGATTGTGAAAGTGAAAAGTCACAGGAAGCTTGAATCTGCGACTGACCTACTGGACTTGTGGTACATTGCTGGAAACATGGCTGCGGATGCCGCAGCGACCTTGGCTTACCAATCGATTCCTTCAGAGGTTCGAATGCTTGTGGATGAGATTGTGGCTCATGTTGAAAAGGAAGCCGTTTTGTTGAACGCCCATTTCAAATTTCTGGCTGCTTTCAATAAGCGTAGATGCCAGATCCTTGAAGAGAAAAAACACTCGGAGACGCAATATCACCTCATTCGACCTAGAGCTGCACATGCGAGAAGTGATGGAATTTTCCATTCTGCTTTGATGGGAATTGATGCGTGCGAGGCCATGGCCAACTTTGTTCAAGATAGCTATGTCCCTTTGACTGAGTTTTTGGTGGAAGACAATGTATTACATGCGTGCTTGCAAGGTGAGAATATCGCAAAGGCGTTTGTCCACTGGTCTCGTTTGGTAAAGTGGCCTCCTGATATTCAACCTGACTACAATATGCATACCAAAGGTGACTGGGGGGTCTCGTGGTTTGAGCTGCTTGTGTCTTTCTATTTGACAACGGGTTTTCGCTGTCCTATCAAGTTGAGTGGTGCAGGTGCACAGTCAGAGTACATTGATTATGGGGATGAAAAGGCGACACTACTTCCTGACAGTAAGAGAGCGGTGTCCTTACAAATCCTATGTTTCAGGAATCTTTGGCAAAACATCACAACGGTGGTTCAAGGAGACCTCTTGCCGAGGTTTGACAATTACAAATGTTTCTCCATTTCCAGACTGGGATTCAAGAGTCCAGTGGCTGGGCTTCCCTGCAGACCTATTTTTCCAAATCAGCAATTGACTATGAAATTTGTCTGGGACTACATTGTGAAGCTTCAGGGCTCGGTAGCCCTTCACAGACCGTTGTACATCAAGGAGCTGAACATTTTGTGTCGCTTTCCACCTCTCGTTGAATTGACACCACGCGAGAGATGGGCCAAGAATGCGGCTTTGATGAAGAGAGTGCGTGCCTCTGGACTTGGTGGTGGCTAATTAGTAATTACCCGTTGCACGTTTTGGTTAGGTATGGTATTCTCACACTTTGGCTTCTTCGATCCCGCCACCTGTGCTTGGGACGATGGAGTGTAGTTGACTCTACATTGTGCGCGTCAAAAGTTGGATTCCATAGCCATAAATATTGATCAGATTGGTGAATGATCAATCCAGCAATAGGGATTTATACGCTGATTATAAGGATTCCCAATATTGGATGGATGGTGATGGGTGACCACAGACCATATACAATGTTTTGACCCTAGCACATATGGAAACTATCCATTTTTGGGTACCCCCATGACTTAGAAACCCAAAACATGTCCATCAAATCCCCCATTGATTCCCTGCTGAACAGGACCTGGGCATCGCCGAGGTGATGCCCGGCTCTGAGGAAGGACCACCTTCTCGCCTGAGTTCCCAAATGTGTTGTTTCAAACATCCTGAAATTTGGGGATTTAACCATCAAACTTGGGAATTTAAGCGTCAAATGCTGGAATTTACCGTCTAGGTGAGGACTTAAACAGGCGCCAGGGTCACTTGGACGTTGGCTTTTGGATCACATAAACATTGGGGATCACTTGGACATTGGACACTTTGGAGACATGGACACCCCTCACACCTTTAGGGTTTGACACTTAGACTTAGGGGCCTGGGGGGACCCTGTCTCAAAGTCGTCAAGAACGTTATCATCCCCCCTCGCCCCCCCTGGTTGAGCATAAGCGAGCATGTGCAACATGTCATGTGCCACATGGCCCACGTTCAAGCGAGCCAACAGCCCGCGCACAAGCGAGCCAAACGCCCATGTTCAAGCGAACCCCCGCCCATTTAAACAACAACAACTACATCCAATGGCGGATTGTTTTCACGGAGAATCGTAACCGGAAAGTTATGGTTAGTTATAACATCAATTATAGTTATAGGGGTGTCCTGTCAATTTTCCCAGCATGGGATCTTTGTTTTCCATGTAGCTACTGAATTCACTAACCACATGAATGATCCGAACACGGTATGTCTTCCAGACAATTTGCAGTAATTACATGGCAGGGATCCAAACATGGTACTGAAATAAATCAAGACTAAGACCAAATGGATCCAAATGGTACCAACATATTTTATAAGAAGATCCAATATGCACCCCAATGTCCCAAGCATGTTTGGTCTTTGCAAGTACTGAAACCTGAATCAAAATTGTGAAATATCCGTGGGAACTCCTGGCGCGATGATCACTCCAGTGATGTTGAACAAAGTGAGCTCAGAGCAACTCCACAGAAAGTCTCAGCAACTCATATTGCAACAACCAGCACCATGCTGGATAATCAAACATTTACTATAGGCAAACCTCATGGTTTCCATGTAGTCTTGTTTTGCATTCAGGGCGGCGCGTAATCACCCGTATTCGAATGCGATCACAGTCAGCGTGGTCTCGGATGTCCAAATTGTAGGTCTGATCCTGTCCAACTGGTGACAAACACGCCATTGCACAGGATGGGTGAATCGTGCAAAGATGGAAACAAATTGTGTCATGGGTGCGCTGGAGAAAAACATTGTTCAAACAAAAAATGCAATAAACTCTGGTTGTTTCCTTGAAATTTCACCAAATCAACCATTAAGTGCGCTCTCTATTCCTTGTAAGACCTATGTGTGACTCCTAGAATGTCTTTGACTTTCAGCCTAACTTCCAATTCCTTGTGCTGATGCTGCAGCTGGCTCTGGGTGTCTGGCACTTTCATTAAAAGACTTGACCACGGCAGGCAGTGGCGGCTGTACTCCACCCTGCCAAGCATCGGCAAAAACTGGTTTTGCTTGCGTTTCATTCAATCATTTTGATATATTGCCACAAAAACATTACACACATATACTATCTTCTGCCTCCTTACTGGTTCGAATTTGTTTTGGATGACTTGAGCATGACTGATCACCCACTCAAACTAGTGGCATTGATATGGTGACATCGGGTGGGACTGTCTGAATGGGATAGTGATTCGTGATCCGAATTGCCGGACCAATTCACTAATGATAGTTCGTCTCATCGCGAGTTCAGTGATCGTAACTCGTACCCAGTGAAAGGGCAGGATCACTACTCGCGTTTACCATCCAACATCATGTCTGGAGTGTCTCAAGACGCATTTCAACATCATATATCGCCCTTCCCCGTTAATTACATACGTTCGCAACATGGTAAAAATATTACAAACATATCAACCATATACTGTATCATATAGATGCAAAAGAAAACCGGCACCGCCACCATCATCACATCATCACAATCATCACCACCACCACCAGCAACAACATCATTATCATTATCATCATCGTCATCATCATCCTCTTCATCATCAATATCAACATCATCATCGTCATCATCATCATCAACAGCATCATCATCATCATCATCATCGTCGGCATCACCAGCATCTTCATCATCATGTCATCATCATCATCATCATCACCATCATCATCCTCAGCATCATCTTCATCATCATCCCCATCATCATCATCATCATCAGCATCATCATCATCATCATCGTCATCAACATCACCAGCATCATCCAACCATCATCATCATCATCATCATCATCATCATCATCATCATCACCAGAACGATCATCATCACCACCAGCATCATCATCATCATCATCATCATCATCATCATCATCACCACCATCACCACCATCACCATCATCACCATCACCATCATCATCACCATCATCATCATCCTCATCATCATCATCACCACCATCCCCACCACCATCACCACCATCACCATCATCACCATCACCATCATCACCATCATCATCATCATCGTCATCATCATCATCATCATCATCATCATCATCATCATCATCATCGGCATCACCTTCATCATCACCATCATCATCATCATCACCATCATCATCATCATCACCACCATCACCACCATCACCATCATCACCATCACCATCACCATCACCACCACCATCACCATCACCATCATCATCATCATCACCACCATCACCACCATCACCATCATCACCATCACCATCACCACCACCATCACCATCATCATCATCATCATCACCGCCATCACCACCATCACCATCATCACCATCACCATCACCACCACCATCACCATCATCATCATCATCACCACCATCACCACCATCACCATCATCACCATCATCACCATCACCACCACCATCACCATCATCATCATCACCACCATCACCACCATCACCATCATCACCATCACCATCACCACCACCATCACCACCATCACCATCATCACCATCACCATCACCACCACCATCACCATCATCATCATCATCATCATCACCATCATCATCATCATCATCATCACCATCACCACCATCACCATCATCACCATCACCATCACCACCACCATCACCATCATCATCATCATCATCATCATGATCATCATCATCACCACCATCACCACCATCACCATCATCACCATCACCATCACCACCACCATCACCATCACCATCACCATCATCATCATCATCATCCTCATCCTTATCCTCATCATTCCATGAATCTCAGTGACAAGTGGGGGGTGCTGGGTGCCTGCTTCTCCCGCTGCTCGCTCTTGTAGTGGACAAGAGTTCCACGTGGCCAGGCCTGCGGACCCGACCCCACGGCCCAGGGCCAGGGGTTGTATCCCACGGCCCAGGGGCTGATATGGGCAAACCCAAGTGACCCAAGTGCCGTCAGCAAGTCGTTCCCCCGTTATCCAAACGGAGAATTGTGGCTCCAAACTGTGAAAAAGAACGAGCAGTGCTCAGTTATCCATGGCATGGCTGATAGGTATGTCGTTCGATATGTCTCGATAAACTCTTCTACACAAATTCTTCGCCTGCAATTGACAACTCTAGATCTGAAATCGACAAACCACAGCCAAAAATTTTCATCAACACTGTCTTGCATGCTTGGCACTAGCCAGACCTACCATAGTGTTGTATTTCCATTGGAAAAAAACCAAGTACAGGAGATCCTTGGAGATGCCATGTCCTGGTCGGTGGTTTCGGCGCCTGCTCACATGAGATGTCCTTTGCTGGACTAATGCGATAGGGATCCGCGTGAGGGCGGCAGTCCAAATTGTAAGTACCTCAAAAGCACTGAACAACGAAACCAAAACGTTGCCAAAAGGATTGGAAGCATTTCATCATCAATAATTTGTGTATTATGTATTGTATCTACGTGATAAAATTGAATAATTTTCATATCTTTCTCTTCTCTTTGCTGCACTGCGAGCATGACTCAAGGCCACAGCACATGCCAAGTACATATCTCCAGCATTTTCTAGTTTGGCTTCTATCTTTAATTGCACATCTTATGTCTTGCGCTTGATTCAGTCGGCCCAGTTCACCCAGTGACGTCCATTTTCTTGGCCACGGCCACGAGAAAAGTCCGTCCACACAGGATCGATATTAGAGCTACTTAGCTCCAGCAAAAGCGATAGCTGGTGATAGCTGGCTGGTTTGATCACTTTCAACATTCGCTACCGTCTGGGGGTTTCCATGACTGGGGGTACCCTGCTCTGTTTCACTTTTCATGGTTTACACTGGAAAATGTGGAAAATGAATGATTTGGAGGTACCCCCATGGATTGGAACCCTCAGCCTTTGGCGGGGCTATCCCTGATGGCTTGAAGCCACAAGGCATCAGTTAAGGCTTGAAGCTTGCTGAGACCTGTGGATTCGGGTCTTAAAGACCAGAAGACCCCTCAATTTTCAAGGGTTTTCAAGGGAATCAGCATGTTTTCATATGTTTTCCAATGTTTTCCATCAAATGGCCATAAATATCCAGAAATTGAGTTATGAACCAGTTTTTGGACAGAGGCATTTTGTGAAAAGCTGCTTAAATTGCAGGTCAAGACTCTGGATTCCACTTTGTTCCACATGACCAATGCATGGTCTGCAAGGCCCTTCAAAGTCTCTTCTTCTTCAGCAATCTTTCTGCTTTCCTGTTGGCACATCTGCTAAAGCTGGGCTGGGTGAAAAGCTGGGTGGCGCCAAATCTGCCTTTGTAACAAAGTGTAACAAAGCGTCCTCTTTCAGCTGCTGGAGGAAAGGTTGTCGCTTTTCCTTTTCCTCGGGATCCAAACATCCTGAAAGCCGCTTCACCGCCGCAGTAAAGATGCGAATCTGACCTCGCAGACCTCGGGCGTCCGGGATCAGATCATCAGATCAAGGCAGACATGGAGATGGCTTGTAGATTTTTGTTGGGGTCTCCCGGTCTCCCAGTTCGGAAAACGTCAACTTGATGTTGCCATATGTTGCCTTTTTCAAATGCTAAAAGGATCTAAAAGGTGGAAATCAACTTCATCTACTCATGAAATGGTTTGAGCCTGAAAGTGTCTCTTCAGGTCCAAGCAACTTTGCATCTTTTGCTGTGTAGCCTCACATGTTGCTCGGGAACAGGGCCAAGTTTTGGGCCAAGTTTTGTGGGCACAGTTGCAGGATGGAATTGCCACTTGAAAAAGTCTCTCCAAAGTCTCCAGGAATCTTGTGACGTGCAGGGGGGAAATTTGTCAGTCACAAACCCTTCTGTCCACTGTTGCTGCACTTGCTGCTTCTGCTTCTCATTCAAAAATCAGGAAATACGCCACCACCATCAGAACATCCCTTAAGCGTACCTTGCCCCAGAAAGGCCATAAACATCCATAAACTGCAACTCCCACTACATCAGACATCATCAGACCTCATCAGACCTCATCAGACTGTATACATTTCCCAATACTTTCATCCACCAAGGCGCATTCAGCTGCCGTTCGACCAAAGCGACTGCCTTCCCATGGTTTTCATCCGCCCTCCGCAGTTGGACTGCCACATCCTCCGCCACCAAGCGTGCCTTCAGCAAACCTGCCGACCTCACCAGGTTCACACAGGGTTCATGTGACGCCCCAAAATCCTGTCAAAATCCAGTGTTTCATCATGTTAAATTTGAAATATACCAGGACAAACCCTATTCAGACAAAACCCAAAATGATCCAAATGGATCCAAATGGGATATGACCGCCATTGTTTCAAAACTGGAAGCCCACCACAAATAGATACAAATAGTGGCAATTAATTGAGGTTCTCACCAGCATGTGACAACCTTTGGGGCAAGCAACCATCAAAAGACCAGTCCAAATCGGCTGACTTAGCACAGCTCCAGCCTGTTATCAGCGCGAACGATGTCCCTGTTGATATTCAGGATGACTTTGATGAGGCGATGCCTTTCCGTCATCAACGCCTCAAGGCGGCCATCTCTATTTTTTTGAGAGAACCTATGATGCCTGTGACTATATTAGTATATAGTACCAATATAGTGTTTGCTTATCATATTAGCAGCCTTTGCACTTCTCTATGGTGTGTATTGGTGTGTTGTGTTTGGCGAACCTCGAGTGTTTCATCCATGACATACTCCAGGTGATCTGTTGTCACGGACGTGCTCGGCGGAGGCGTTGAGCGAGGAGTTGGACCTGACGCTGAAGTCATGGGTCCATGTGAACTGCCTCAGGCAGGAATTATATAAACCTTTTATGTTCCTATTCACCTTGAGTATTTCCCAAAGATCCCCAAAGATATACATATATATATATACATATATATAATATATATACACATATGAAAGACTATGAAGGTCTGTGCAAACTAGATCCCAAATAAACGTAAATAAGTTACAATCAACCCCAGAACACAGGAGGGTTCCAGCCACTTCCGCAACTTCAAATAAAACATGCCGCTGAAGTGAAAGTTATTTGAAAATTGCTCAGTATCTAATAGATATCTATACCTTTTGGATCTCTATGTTGCAGAAGGCTCTCCGATGTGTTTTCCGCATTGTTTTGAATGTTGCTTCCCAATTCCTAACACCTGTGCCAGCCAGGCTCTGCCATGCTCTGCCAAGGAACTAGGTATATGACTTGTTGTGCTTGTCGTGCTTGTCACCGTGGTGCTTGGTGTATGGATCTTCTCCATCTCTGGTTCTCGAGTGCCCGGAATGAAGATTCGGGGCATGTCTGGGGATGGATCTGACTCCGCAACTTTGGCGCTGGTGCTCTGCGTTGTCGTCACGACGCTGGCAGCTGTGGTGCTTGTCACTGGAGGTCCAGTGGGAGGCAAAGGATGTTGCGCAGCAACAGGTACTAGCTTTGAATCTGCAGTTCCAAGTGTGTGCCTGGGCGGAGCTTCATGCTCGCAGGGCGTTGACTTCTTGGCCCCTTTTTGATCTTTCTGATATCCTGGAGTTGCCAGTGGCACATCGTCAATCTGCATCAAACTTGCCCAGTGACCTCAGATCGTGGCGGCTATAAAGCATGAAACCAGATAGAGTGACTAGAAAATCAATGAACATATCTTCAGCAATTTGGGGCATGGGGACAGCAAAATTTGCCCACAGGTCTTAGGGCAAAAGGATGCAAAAGGTAGGTTTCTGGATCCTACAGGTCCTACAGAAACAATTGGGCCACGGGGAAGCAGAGAGTTCCAAAGCTTTTTGCCGTTCAAAGACTTCCATTGTGGACACGCTGATGGACCTCTGGAGTCTCGGGAGACTCAACTTCCAAAGTGAAGATTTGGTCCTTCCAGTGCCATCAGTGCCATCTTTATGGGCAAAACATGGCACAACACATAAGCTCATATCTGAAAAATGCATATTTTACGATTGAAGTTGTCCACTTTCAATCCGTTCCTGGGATACACTGACATACAGTACATACCAATTGAATCCAATTGACGTATTACTCCAGTATCAGTGTCACGACCCAGAACCAGCCCCTTGCTCTCAGGTCTACTGTAACCTTCTTTCAAGCAATGTGGTCCACACTGTTGCAGACCGTGAAGTGAGAAGGAAAGTGGGTCTAAAGGAAAATGCGCAAACAAGTGGCCCAAGATGTTTGAAAATGGGCCTATCCAATGTTTGAAATAGTCATTGTTTTCCCTTCTAAATACAGTACCACATTTTCCAGGCAAAAACGGGAGCTCACAAAATCTTATTGATGATCGTTTCACCATTAAAACATGTTAATTTTGTGTGTATATATTATATATATATATTATACGGACCTTACATATATACATTTATCTTGGCAAACCACGTCCTTGACCAAACGATTCACGCGGGTCAGCGCTTTCAAGGCACTGTCATACCTTGGCCGCCGCCCATGAGCTTCGGATATCTTGAGATCATGATCATAGCATCTAGTTGTACAACTCTAACAAGTTCCAAAACTACGATGATTGTTGTATTATAGTTCTTATGAATATATATATATATACACAATATTATACAATTATAAACAGATATGTATATATATGGCTATGAGTCAAAATTGTGTATGGAACGTTCCGCGCTGTTCCGGACGTATGGAACGAAGGGGTTTCGTAACTGGTCTTGTTCCGGACGTTTGGAATGTGATGAAGTATAAGCTGTACATAAAGATAAATATGTATACTGTATATATGTATAATATACTGTATATAATATACATCTCGAGGATATGCACGTTGAAGCTACTACCACTGGCCGCCGCTCATTTTCACTTCTCATCGGCGCGGCATCCTTGTTGTACACCTGTTCAACGCAGGTTTGCCTTGCATGGCTAGTGCTCCTGCACTAGCTAGGACTACGTGAAGCTGTCCACTCAGCTTGAGACCTGTCACGCAGGTCCCACCTCCTACTCTTAAAACTCAGAGGTCCCGGTCCCTATGGGTAGATAGTGTCCCCGCGTAGCAAGACTCTAGGCTCCCAAAACCCACGCGCAAAGGATGGCTTAGGAGCAGTCTATGTGAGAACCTGCCATTTGTTCACCCGGAAGTGGGTCAGGGATGGTACATGGGTGGTCCGGGTCTGGAACGGGCATGGAACGGGTATGGAACGGTATGGAACGGGGTCTGGAACGAAGCGGCCCACTCCAGCACAGCTCCGCCACCGCGCAGCACATCTTTATCAAAATTGGCATTTTGGAGCGCGAGTAGCGCAGCAAGCAATTCTTAGACTGCCAGCTGGCAACAGCCAAGCGCATCTCTACCATCAAACATCACAGCTGTGCCACAGCGGGCAGCAACTGTAAGTGGTGCAGGTGCAAACCTGCCACAGGTTGAGAGGGAGGCCCGGTTACAAGCAATCCATTCTTAGACTGCCAGCCGACAACAGCCAAGCACATCCCTACCATCACACAACAAACGCTGCAGGCACAGACTTGCCAACACAATCACAGGGCTTGGGCATAGTAAACGTATTCTTGCATGTACACACTCATCCATGTATGTGCGCTCAAGTATGCGCGTACAAATGTAAAATCAGACTGCACATATTCTTCATATATATATATACATATATATCATAACGTATAGATCAGAGGTATGAAACAGAGGTATGGAACGGATCCTTCAAGGAGGTATGGAACGGGGGTATGGAACGGGGGTATGGAACGGGTGTGGTCCCGGAGCTTGTTCCGGACCTCCTATTTTGACTTGCACCCATATATATATATATATATTGTTAAGTATTGTTAGACATGGTTCTTATAACCTGCTTCGGTCCTGCTGCACTACAACAATGAGCTAGACACCCACATTCTAAAAACTGCCTGTACTGCAATGAAATTACGCAAGCCTGCACGATGGCTTGAACCGCCTTCTGAACTTTTTGGCACCCCAGTGACAGGGCAGCCCTACAACCAAGATCAACATAACCATTTTCAATCACCAGTTTTGATGGTTAAATCATCATTTTCGATAGTTTTATACATCATTCACTTGTTTCATTCTTATATAAATCCCATTTTTTTGATGGTACTAGTATCTCCAATATCTCCAATTGTTCATGGCAAATCAAGCTCAAGTTATCTCAAGTTGCTCATGCCTGGCCTTTTGTGCATGCTCCGCAGCCTCCTCGTGCAATTTGACGCTGGCATTCAGCGCCACATCGCCCATCAAGGCCTCCTCTCGGATCCTCAGCGACATCGCGCGACCGCAAGGACTGGCGGCTGCCGGCCAAATGCAGCTAGGGAGCCGCTTGACATGTTGATTCCTTAGGCAAAACGGCAACGAAATTGACACCAAAAAAAACATGCTTGATCAATCTGATCATTGCTTTTTTTTGCTTCACATTTCACTTGCCCTACTGCGCAACATCAGTGTCAACATAAATACTTTTGGCTCACAAATGCAAAAATGATGCATGCTGTGGCAAGATTCATGGTTTGTAGAAGTCGTTGCAAGCTGTTCACTTCTTCCAACCTCTTAGGTAGCTTCGGCCGAAGTTGTGCCAACCACGTGGAGGCTCTAGACCTCTTCCGGCATGGTCCAGTGCGGCTTGTGAGGTATGTCAGATGTTGGCTCCTGCCGGTGCTGGGGTATTGGTTGTAGCCCAGGGATCGACAATCCAGCGACTGTGCATACGATAGCAGCAACCATGAGAGATCATGTTACACAACCTGTGTATCAATAGTATACAATATCGTGATACAATATTATAGGTTTTAAATAATTTTGAAAAAAACACACATGTCCAGCGACTGTGCAGTCCACAACTGCTGCCCTTTTTTATTTACCGTTGACATCCGTTGACCCCGTCCTGTTGACCATAGACTTCAGCCGTTCTGCTTCATCCACCGAGACCTGCAGGGTCTCCACCAATCTTTTGGCCAAGAGTTCCAAACTCTCCACCTGCGATGTTGGACCAGCTAGGCATCTTGGGTGGGTTGGATGCATTGAGGGACAATCATATCATATCATATCATACCATATCATATCATATCACAATATAACCCAGTTATATAATGTAATTATATGTAATTATATGTAGAACATACCCATTGATGGGACATTATTTTCATGTCATGCTGTCTGATGCACATTTCGATCAAACCCATTGAACATTGATGGGACAAACCCATTGACGGACAAACCCATTGACCAAACCAATCATTCTGTCCAAGTTGTCCAAGTCTGGCCTCTCCCAATGTGTCTTTCCGAAGGGTTGTGACATCCAGAGCCACCGATGTGTTGAACACGTGCAGCTTGATGAGGTCAAGACCTTTGAAGTTTCACATGGTAGACCCAAAACGAAATCAAGCGTGGCTGGCAAATCCAAGCCCATTTATTGAGGAATTCCTAAACCTCCATCTATGGAGGTATTCTATGGTATACCCTCTGGTAAACTAACATAACTATGGAAAATCACCTTTTTTAATGGGAAAATCCACTATAAATGGCCATTTTCAATAGCTATGTTAAATTACCAGAGGGTAAAACATTGATGGAACTTCATGGAACCAATCGGTTTTTTAACTCAATGGACTCAATGGGTGAGAACTATGGTCATCCCCAGGGACTTCTGAGAGCATCCAGCAACTCTGGCAAAGTCAGTGCTTGTCTTGCCTGGAGCATGGAGGCACTACCACTGATACAGCCGGTTAAACAACATGTGGGATTCCAATGCCATAAACGACCCACAGTGACTCACCAGAAATGGATGAGATTGAAGCCTTATCGCGGTTTACCACATTAGTCAAGTGATTCATGTTGTCTTGGCCTGCTGTTTGTCCCGCTTAGTGGATCCGGGTCTTCACAGCCAGCTTGCCCAGCCTTGCCCGTCAGTCGCACCAGTTCTTGTGCACGGAGCAAATCAGCCCGCAGCGTTGGTAAAGTTGGCGTTGCAACCTGCGACAGTGAAACACTTTTGCTTAGTTCGACGGCTGAAGGCTGCAAGGAACATCAAATATTAGCGGAATATGCGTGCGTTGCCCTCTTGTCCCAAAAACACATAGAAGGACACTTCTGCGAATATAGTACAAGTCTGACTGTCTGACCAAGAGTTTTGCTTGGAGAACGAAATGGCACATGTCTCTCTAGAGACACGGGTGGAGTGTTTCTCTACATGGAATCTTATCAGAGAGCATCTGCGACCAACAGCTGACATTCAACAGCTGATTAGTGGAGGACATGGTACTTACAAGCCGACATGTGTTTGGACTGACTGAAAGTAGCTGAAAGGAACTGAAAGAAACTGAAGGATTGTTCAAGGGTACACAGCTGGAGTGTTTCACAAGGCATTTTGCGGATTGAAAAACAATGCTTTGAAACTGCACATGTAATGGCACTTCAGACCTTGCACGATCGGGTTTGTCGCTACTTTTAAAACAATTCACAAAAAACGCTCATTAAAAGATACTAAAAGCATTTATCTCAAGAGTACGACCGTCACAAAAGAACAGCGTTCAAGCAAACATGTCAGATATGACGCTACCAAGCACTAACTGAGGTTTTTTCTTCCTGCTTCTACAGCCGGTGCCTCTGCAGAGAGACAGGAGCTGCCAACCAATACCAGCCAAAGTCCAAAGAGACCCATTGCAAGTCAACGCCGCGGCAGCATGCCATCAGTGTGAAAATGTCTTGTTGAGGTCGAACTTGCCTAAATAAACCCATTTGGTTTGGGGACAAACTCGTGACGGTCATTCTCATGTTCAAGTGATGTTGATTGAAATATCCATGGATATCCATCATTTATTATATAAAATAACCAAGTATTGTATGATATTGTATGTAAGTATTACGTATAATTTACATAGTATTACTATGATTTCATCAGAAATGCACATGGTGGGTTCGGTGGGGCATGGGATTTCTGCCCCTGCAACCAAGATGCGGCGGATACGGAAAACATGTGCCAACCACCAACCAGGGCGAAACACAAAAACATGACAGATTGTCTGCAGTTGCAACCAACCATTTTCTGAAGGTTTTGGTTGTGGATGTGGTTGTGGTTGTGGTTGTCGTCCATGATGACGATGGCATAGCGAAAACGAGTGCGTCAAGGCTACGAGTTGATGGTGCCACCGAGCAGCTGTCCAGATCGTTAAAACTCTGCACCGTCGCAGGGATGAAAGAAAATTTACTGGACCTCAGCTCCCAAGGACGTCCGTAGATCAAGGGAACGAAAGAGAACTACCGCAGGGTGTAAACGTGAATAATTAAACAGGAAATAAATATGTATAGTGTTTCATGGATTTGTCAATATATTGTATACAAGTATAGTCTATACAGTATAGTCATGTATGGTCTATAGTCTATAATGAATCGAGCTATGTGTGTGTGTGTGTGCTTACATGCTACAGAGAAAAAACACATTTGAACCTATCTTTTTGTATATGTATACATTAATCATGATCGCTATGTCAATATGATTCAATGTGTACATCATACAAGTATGTATCTATCATGATTATCTATCATATAAACTCATATAATACAACCATTTTTCTATCTACAGCGCATCCTTGAGTGCCGCACGAAGATGGTTCGTAGCGGCACTTGGTTCCTGGCCATGGATGGGACGTTTGGGACGGGCGAATCTCCACCACCAAGTGTTCGTGCTTAGGGCCACTGCCGGGGATAAACAAAGATAGCAAGCAGTGGCGTGATATGTATAGTTGATTATAGTTGGACAATTAGAGATGTTGTGCCTTCTTCCAGTTAGATGCTTTCAGGGAGCCATGACGCCTGAATGAGAAACCGCATTTGGATGCATTTGGCATCTTGAAATTGGTTACACTCCGGTAGTCAAACATGGAACCGCTAAATCATCCTATCTATAGATGATTTTCCTCGCGAACACGCCCTAGCCTTTGTTTTTTCCCGCATCGTAAACAATGTCCTGCTTTGTTGGGATGACGGGTGCCCCAAGATTGCCCTTCACCAGTGTGCCGACCCCGTGTCTCAAGACTACCAACCACCAAACCCAGTGACTTACCATGACTTACCCAGTGTTGTTGCTTGAATGATGATTCGTCACAACATGTTTGGTCCCAATTTTGGCATGGACCATTCCGCTACATGTTCAGTCTTGAAAGTCTTTGATGGATACCTGAAAATAACACATGCAACATATTGCAAAATATCCATTTAACATCATTTAACTATTTAACTTGAACAACTTTGAATAAAATTGAATGAGTAATTCTTAATTTAAATAATTTCCCTCCAATCCCCATGTTCCTAATCCTCCACCCCGATCCCGGCAGGCTTTACCCCCCTTCGCCATCGGCACCGGGAGCCAGGAGCCGCGGCGCCGGCATCAGCGTGGTGGGGGACTGGTCGGACATGGGAGTGCCCGGTGTGCCCACCTCAGTCACCTGGCGATTTGAGTTCTCCTAGGCGAATTTCAAGGGACCCCAAAATTTGGATGGTAAATTGGTGAAACATGGTGAAACTGTGAAAAGGAAAAAGGTGTTCTGACTCTTCTCCAGATTTTTGTTCACCAGAAAAGGTTGAGGAGAAAGGCTTGGAGAAACTGACTGTCAAATGTGACTTAACTGTGAACAATTAAATGGCGATAAATTTGGATGTAAACGTTTCTAGACGATTTCGGGCCCTGCCACAGAGTGACCGCCTGCCTTGGTCTTTTGCGTTCTGAAGCTCTTGGCTTTGTTACGTGCCTCGGGTTCTTTCTCAAGAAAATTTGACACCTGCAAATTGGTTCTCATTCAGGAACCTCAACCATGTCAAATTGAAAATTCCACAGGAAAGCAACTTTATCTCTGAACCTGTCAGTGCCTCACTGGTTCCTGAAATTTTGTTGAAATGGATCTGGCTTCGTCTACCCATCCCTTCCAGTTACATCGAATTTATCAAAAGTCTTGCCTGGTTTGTGTTCATTCCCCCCCATTCGATGGATAAACGGCCCCCAAACCCCCACCTTATCGTCTTCTTCAGTCTTCTTTTGCTCCTGCTCTCGCTCCCGAGCTTCTAATTCATTGACTCTCTTTTGAAGCTTCTCAAGCCTCAGGAATCAGGATACTCATCCGCCATTGACAGGCAGAAATTTCTGGTTATTGGTTTCACATGATTTCAATAGGCCAACGGGCGGCCAACGTGATGAATGCCAATGAAGATCATCATCGCATCTGTTGAATGGGAAAAATGGAAGGCACCAAACTGGCCAAGCAGTAAATATATACTTTGCTTTTTTTCCAATCTTTATTGGTAGATATCCATATGATCTGGTTGAGTGTTGCTTTTTTTGGCGGCTATACACTACAAGAGGCTTTCGCCAAAGCTTGCGCGACGCATACGCCGGATGGGTTTTACTTGCGAAGGTTGCCTTCGCGCTTACTGCATTCTATGAAAAAATATGAAAAAGCCTTCGCGCTTGCCCTGGCGCCTTTTTTCGGCACGCATTATTTTTGCGGTTGTTGTTCATTTCCTGTCAGAAGCTGACGAAGCAGAAGTAGACGACGAGAAAAATGAAAAAAATGAGATTGCGTCTGCCAAAGCAGTGGAAAAGCTCCAAACCAGCGGGTAAAACATGGTAAAACATGCTCTAGAAAGGCCGTTAGTTTGTGTTTCATGGTGATTTTCTGCCTTCGCGGGGCCTTCGCGGAGCCTTCGCGAGGCTTCGCGGAGAAGCCTCTTTATTATTTGCAGAAACGACGTATAGCCTTCACACTCCCCAAGGTAATGATGAAAATCTGACACTGACCACTGAAGAACTTCTGAATTGAATATGAATTGCTGGTTTGAGTTGCACTGCACGTGTAAGCCCTATGAAAGTAGATGCCAGTTCCAAGTTGCTATGGTAAGCTCATGGTGACATGCATGGTCTTTAATATATTGGTTACAGTTGAAGTTGTCAAACCTGTGGAAACACATCTGCATCACATAGCCTACGCGAAGAGCCTTCGCACAAAAAAAAAACACGGATTTGTAACTGCCTACGCTTGTGGCTTCGCGCGGCTTCGCGCGCCAGCAAAACACTGGAGAAATGCTTTCACGGCAGAAGTTGGAACAGCACTCTTGTCTAAATCTCTGCATCCCCCAAAAACCATCCCACTACAGTACCTGCTAAATAGTCAAATACTCAGATTGGCAAGATGTCCATTTCTGGTGGCTTCAGCAAAAGTTAAAACCTCCATATTTTGGGTCCCCCAAAGCGGCTCAGGACTTGACTCCTTTGCCTTCTCGTCGACCTCGGCCTCGATGGATCTGATGGATCTGATGGATCTGATGGATCTGATGGATTCAGAAAATCGATGGGAAAATCCGTGAATGTAAAGAGGGATCGAAAAAAAGATAGGAATGTTATTCCCTATACTATATATATATTATATTAGTATGATTTAGTATGTACTATGTTGAAATATTTTGAATCTGATTGACTTGTCCATTTTTTGAGGATGCGTATATATCCTCCTTCAAGCCATCCAATAGGGCTTCGGCTTGTTGGACTATGTTAGAAGCATGGCAGCTCTAACAGCAAGTTGAGCAAATGAGTCGCATTACAAAACATGCCACTCCAGTGCCACTCATGTGATGCATCCACTCTTCCAAGCACAAATCCTCCCACCATGAGAACTCTTCATTTTCACATTTTTCACTAAATCATCTAAAAATTCATGTTTCCTATGGCTCAATCATGCGAAATCATCTAACATATTCTAACATATTCTAACATATTCTAACATATTCTAACATGATCTGCAACCTGCCAGATTGGTCATAGGAGTCACATTATGCAAAAACATACCAACATAGTCTAACCATGTCTAACCACCGCTTAGGCAAAACAAAAACAAAAGCGGCGCCTGCGGATAGCCGAAGCCAGGCCTGGGAGGCCTGAAGCAAATCGAAAAAACGTGAAGCCTATTGGATGGATATAATAGCCATTAATTCACAATAAAAACAAAAAGTTATTAGCCGTCGATATAGCCAGAACTTGAGTATTATCAGCTATAATGCCATTATACTATATTGATACTAGTAGTGGATGAAAACAGAAAATAGGCTATGAATTCGTGACAATGACAGAAAGGCACTTATTAGCCATTATCTGAATATATCTGAGGCAGAAATTGACGGTTCTATCTTTGAAAAGGCGCTATATCATATGGGGTTCACAATGGACAATATTCTTATCGATGTTTGACACACAAATTGGGGAAAACAATATGGGATGTAGCAAATGTAACAATGTAAACAGGTACATCCCTGAACGACCGGTCCGTTGGTGGGTTTCAAAATCTGGGCATGAAGCAAAGCTCCGGTACAAGTAATACCCAGAGAGATCCCCAAAAATAAACCGAATATCACTGAATGATCTATGATCTATGGATCTTACGGGATCTTTGTCGAGCATTTCTGGGGATATTTGATGTATTTGACCCACAAAGAAGTGTGGCTTTCTGATTTGGTATGACCCACATCCAAATTGATTCATCCCCAACGGCTCAGCTGTGCTCTGGGGACTCTGGGGATCCTACATTCCTCCCTTTGGAACAGCTGTGGCATTGACTCCAGCCTGGAACATGCTTGCAACATCATGGCAGTCTGAAAATGAAGGAACCATAAATTGGTTAGCACAACAACATGCAGCACTAGGATGTACTAGGATGTACTAGGGTTGTTTCATGTCAACACAGTGCAGTGAGCAAATCAAAAACCGCGCGCCTCTCCATTTCTGGGTGTGCCTCCTCCTTTTCTTGGAGTCCCGTTTCTGGGAGTGCCATTTCTAGGAGTACCATTTCTAGGAGTGCCAGCAGTTGGAGTACCTGGCAGTGCTCATGGTGAGCGAAGACACATATTGCGTAGAATCGCTCACCAAATGCAGAACACCTCTGGCCATGCTTCGCATCAATTCCCGAAATATACCAGCGCTGCGGCGCACCATTCTCCACGGGCTTTCGTTTCGACTCGGCGGAACGCCTTCTGAAGAGCCAATCAAAGTGTAAAGATGTGTAAATCTGAGCTGTAGAAGATTCATATCATATCCTCTCCATTGTCTTCCCGATGGTCCATTCCCCATCATTCCCCGTTGTTTCTATGTGCACTTCAACAGGCGGAATTAACCATGATCAACGTCACCTGCCTTCCGGAGTTCAGCCAAGGCTCCCTTGCAGATTTTCGGTTTGGATTTACTGATCATAAATTAAAGGTTCCAACATGCATTCATTAAACAAATATATACAAATATATACAAATATATACAAATATATCAATATATCTATAGTTCATGCCCTTGCACCAACACATGTCTTCCAATGATTTCCAGTGCTTGTCCTCTCGGATGGCTATGGATGTGGTCTGCATCTGAAGGACAACAAGCTCCCGGATGTGTGAGGAAACTGTTGCCTGAGTACCTATCATGATGTCGCCTGTCGCGTGTATACGAAATACTTAGTCAATCCTACATGCTTATTCAATATATTCAATACGCAAAAATATCAAACATATGGACTGTGATGGACTGTAGTATATATATAGAAATATATAGAAATATACAGAATCTAAGAGATTTTACTCCGAAAAAAGCATGACCATCCGCGACCACCATGACCTATGCAATGGCCTGAGAGCATTGCTGGCAGTCAGCCTGGATGACGCATTCACACAAACCTCAGGAGCGGAGCCACCAACGACTGGTCGCAACTTGGTCGCAGTCTGTCGCAGTCTGTCGTCCATCTGGCAGTGGCACGGGTTCCCCCGCCAGCCGCTTGCAAAAGTTCCTGGCATTCTTCACAGAACTTCACATAGAACATCTTAGAACATGAACAACAAATATACTGTGTGGTGCTTGCGGTGTGAGCCCCTCAAGAATTGCTACGAGACTGCACAGCTTTAGTGATTCAAATGATTGAGAACAACGTATAGCACAAACCCTCTGCTCTCATTCGAAAAAAGTTTCATGTCAAAAGAAACATTGGATGTGCTATTTCGGGGGTTGACATAACTATTCCCAGTAGATTTCCCCCTTCTGGGGCCTGACATGGGAAAATCCAAAAAAAAACATCGGTGAATCCATGGCGTTCCTGGCTGTCTCTGAAAACTTCTGAATCGTCTCGCCCAAGCCTCGCTGTCACCAGTCCCAGGAAGGATGTGCATGAAACAAATTGGAGTTAGAATACAGTCCAACAACATGTACTGTACATGTATATATATGTATATATACCTGCCTATATACAATCTTCCATATGCATGCTGCACGCATGTCACATGAATATTTATGTACACGCTTATATTACATAATATTACATATACATAGAAAATCATAGAAGTAGAATCAAGTAGATACCCATTACAGGTCTGCTTCCCAGATAGCGCTGAGCTTCACACCGAAGAGACCCAAGCCCTGCGCGGCGACGCTGGAGGTGTCTGTGAAGTCCAAGCGACCTTCGATCCTGGAGCTGTTTGACCCTGTTTGAGTCATTCATTTGGTCCCAATATATTCCAATATGTAGACATTGAAGATGATTGAATCGATGTAATTAAGGATGTTCCTGGTAGGAATCTAACTTTCAGTCATTTCGGATATTTATATCCAGCCATTGGAAGGTAAAATAACAGCATAAACCCAAAGGATCATTGATATGCGAGGAGATTGGGAGGAGTCAATTCACCTCTATTTGCGAGTGAATCATGCAACGCACAAGGCATGAAGCAGCGAAAAAGGAAGGAAAAAACGGCAGCGGTGGGGTGAGACAAGCATGCAAACCTCCGCTAATGCCAACTGTGTGCAAGGAAGCAGGGGCAAGAGGGGCAGAAAAGCAGTGACACGCGAAAGGGATTTTTAGTAGTAAAAATGCGTTACTGCTTAGATTTTGCCCATGTATTCATTTAGTGACACATTTCATACCATCTTATGTTTAGATTGGGCCCATATCCATGCCAGTGTGCAAGCACGAGTTTTTTCGTTGCCATCCTCAAGAGAATTTCAGATCCTCTGGCCACAACCACAACGTTCCACGTTGCTTCTATGCCAGCAACCCAAGTAAAGACTTTATCCAAAGCTACCATCAATAGCGCCAGATTCATTCCATCAAACCTGCAGATCTGCAACCCACAGCTATGCATGTTAGATGTTGGCATGTCTCAGTGTCTGGCATCAACCTCTGATCCAGCTCATTTCGCTTGTTCAGGAACGGATGCTTCCCACCAAAGATGATCATGTACCTATTGGCCAGTGGAAAACTCAGGCAGAGATTTCCCCTCAGGCACAATGGCCAGATCTTTTCGAGTGTAACCATAAGATCTTGGAACATCTTAGAACGCGTTTTTCCAGCAAAATGATAGCGGGATGAGCTATGAATGCCCCATCATTTAAACAGACCTCACTTGGGCCATCTTTGGTTCCATCATTTTTACATGTTCAGGGCAAGTTATGTGAAATGTAAGAGTGAAACACGGCCAGATTGAACTTGGCCCCTGCCCAGGCCCTTTTTGGTCCAACTGTATCCTTCTGCAGAAGACAAAGCGTTGCTGGACTGAAACGTCTGACTGACCATGAGATGCGTGTGCCCTGCATGCTTCAAAATCATTCCCTGGACATCTTAGGATCTTCCATGATCTTCCAACCCCATCATGAAGACCACCCCTGGCTGAGACCCTACTGGTCAAGATCTATAGCAGTTAAACATGCTTTTGAACATTTTGAAAGCACGCACAGGGCTCAAGAAACTTGATAAAAATCCATCTAATTGTGACATAACTTGATACATTTGTGCTACAGTTGCCTTCCAGCCGGTGCAAACACGGCATCAGGCTGTGACCAAGACCTTTTCTTTCACAGAAGCTGCCGCATCTGCCGTCCTGTCACCAAAGGCGAACTCGCAGGCCACTTTGCTGCCATCATAGACATTCGTCTCTGCAGCCTGGGGTGTCGCCACATAACCCTCACTCCATACCTGGTTACCTTGGGGATGTGATGTCAGTTTCCATCAGTTTCCCATATTTGGCACAGTCTAGCCAACAAATAGTCATAGGATGGGTTGTGAAATTGACCCTTCTGCCCATTCTGAGGATTTCCACCCTCCATGTTAAGTTCTCTTCCCATTCCCATCTGGGTTTGTCTGAACATAGGTTAACCCTACATTTGATGGTTTATCACCATTTCCCCTCAAAAAATGACATTTTAAGGGTATCCCAGTATTCCCGATTCTCAGACACACCCATCTACTCCCACACTGGATCGGTTCAATTTGTTAATGGAAAATCTGCTTCAGAAACCCCAAAGAAGTGAGAGTAAAAACCACGGTTTCCTGTACCCTCTGGTAAATTAACATAACTATGGAAAATCAATGAAAATCACCATTTTTAATGGGAAAACTCACTATAAATGGTCATTTTCAATAGCTACGTTAAATTACCAGAGGGTAGATATTCCCTTCCACCGACCCATTGATTCCCATTGATTCCCACCTTCATGATGCATTGGTTCATCAGTCGGAACAGCGGCGAGTTTCGCTCGATGAGCTGATGCAGCTTTGACACCGCATGACTGACCTGCAATGACAAAAAGAAGGGGCAAAAAATGAAAAAAATAGTGGGAATATGTGGGAAATCAACAGAACTATTTATAATCATTCCGATAACTATGTGCAATTGTTGGTTCATTTGAAAGTTCTCAGCCCATATCATCTGCTATCATCGATTGAGTTTGTATGAATGGCTTCATGAACAAGTGGCAAGTTTGATGATGTTCAACAACAACTGCAAATCATCCATCTAATTACTGGATATATATTAATATAGATATCACGCTGGTCTTGTTCTTCCTTTGATGATGTGGCTATGGGTCAAAGCTCTGGTACACTGATGTAGCCCCCAAAGAGCTGCAAAACGGATGTTCGTCACCAAATGATATATAATAAACCTTGAAATTTATGTTTTCTATTTCTCCATCACTTGAATTTCCATTATTTCGATTAGCGCCCCCTAGTTCAAAATATCTGAATCCTCATTCTTGGTGGCTAAACTATGAGAAATTCCAGTGTTTCAATGTCCACTTGTTCTTAGAGATTTAGAGGTTAAATCAAGTGAAATCCACATTTGGGGTGGGTTAAATCCACCAACATCATCATTTTCTAGGTGATAATCCCACCATTTCTGATTGCTCAGATCCCATTTCTGATTGTTGATATCTCCCGGACCAGGACTCCAGGGTTGCTGAATTTGACCTTCCCGTAGATTCCCCAGTCATGGTGGATTTCCTTGGAAAATACGGCTAACATGTGGCTAACATGTGGTAACTCGTCCTCATTTTCTAGGGAATGTGGATACTCCGAACCGCCTAGCTCTGAACCGCCTCAGAACCTCTGAGGTTCAAAACCCCGCTCCAAATACCCTCTGAGGTGTTTGGAGCCCCAAAACCACCTCCAAATACACTTTCAGACACTACGTGCAGCAAAAATGAACATAAAATATAACACAACATATTTTTCCATGATTTTCCTGAAACCATGATTTGCAGAAACTATCATGATAGTTTCCCAGATTCTATATTATAATGATCATGGGGCTATATTACAGACTATGTTCTCCCATGATTCTCCCATGGGATAATCATCATATAGTCCCATGATATCCCAATGATCCCATGGATTTTCCCATGATCTCCATCATGTAAATGGAAGATATTTCATATTATCAATGGGATATTTCAATGGGATATTGTAGACATTTGTAGACGATAATTTTTCTTCCATTGATATATCATAGACTCTTATCTCTTTTTTGGATATTCCATACTGGATATGATTTTCATATCATCATAATATCCATTGATATGAAATATATGGCATATTATAGACTCTTATATATCCCACATTTTTTCCCATGGATTTTTCCCATGTAAATTGCCCATGAAAAACCCCACATCGCCATCGCCCAACCGTTCGGTCACCGCCTCCCGGCACTCCACCGAGCCATCGCCCAGCTCCTGTGCGCGCACCGCGCTGTGCGCCTCATGGGCTCCGACGCGCCGGATGTGAAGCTTGGGAACCTCCAGTGCCGCGGGGAAACCCATGGAAAACCCATGGAAAAGCCATATGGGAAAGCCATGGGAAAGCCATGGGAAAGCCATGAAACTTGAGGATTATGAACATGTTTGGATTTGAATGGATTGATTTTTTTTCTGATGGATGATAATATGATCAAAACTGGAGATAATATGGATATATTCGGAGAAAACAACTCACAAGGATATTTACTGTGATAGTATGGGGATTTCAACAAAAAAACATTTGACATATTATGAATATATTTATTATATAATAAATATTAATAATAAAAACACTAATACTAATAATAATATTATATGAATATATATATATATGATTGTTATACATACATATAATAATAAGTACAGTAAACAATAATCATTAAATGGAGCGTTAACCAGCCAACAGCTGGACCCTCAGAATAACGCCAAGTTGAGGAAAGAAATGTCTTGCAACCCAGAAAGGAACCTTGCCACTAAGATCCGGTAGAAATGGTGTCCCCAAAGCAGAAAGGCTAGTTGAATGATGATAAATGGATTCTAGAACTATCCACCAATTTCAGAATTACAGTAGTTCATGGCATAGCTACTGGCTATTGGGATGTATCCACCGGTCCAGTTGCTGCATCTACAAATGATCTGCTCCACGTGTGAGGACATTCGTTTACCGAAGCAAATCAAACACTTCAAACACTCAAACCGTGGACTGAATCATCCATCCCAATCCCAATCCATCCCATTTATATCCCACTTGTATCCCATATATATATATATATGTCCTATTTACCCATGATATCCCCATGTTTCAGATCCATCCCAATCCATCGGCTCGTTTTTCCTGTTCCGGGCCGCTGGGAAGAATGCCAGTTCCGAGGGCTTCGTGACCAAGACATCCACCGCACGGATCACCAGATCCGTACACCGAAAGGCTGCGAAGTGACTGTCAAAGCGGAAGAGCGTCACTGCCTCCGTTGACGGAAGGCGGTGGCAATATGGCGGAAGGTGGGTGTCGGAGGAATGTTGAAATGAAATACATCGGATTTTTTTTATCTTTGACGGTCCCAACCATGTTGTATCACCACTTGCACTAAGAGTATCATGTGGATCTGATGCATCTTGATGTGCAATCTTACGCAAGAAGTGGGTGCCACCAAGCCAGCACAGAGGCGCCTTCCAATCGGCAGGCTCCTCCAACTTATCCAAGGCTTCCTTCTTGCAAAGGGCGACAGTTCCTTCGTTGCTGGTGACTTGGTTAAATTCCAAGCCCAAAGCCTGGCAGGCGTTCAGTTTCAAGTTCGCCAAAAATGGGGTCAAAAGCTATGGCATATGACAGCGTATCCATCAAACCTTCTGAATCATTATTTCGTTGACATACACAACCTAAAACAACATGATGTGAATGACAGCGATTATCTCAAGGAATCCAAGTTTGCAAGTTCAGCAACCCACCCCTAGAAGAACCTGCAACTTGGCGGTGATGGCATCTGCAATGTGTCCGTGATCACCGCAGTTCAGGTAGATTCGGATACCTTCAAAACTCTTCAAAAACTGTGCCCGTCCAAGATCGAAGTCTGGATCCGTAAAACTTTCGACATGAAATAAGACCGCATCCATAGAACCCCAACAGATGCTCTTTCAGACGCAAGTAAATCTATGTAAATCTCCTTGCAAGCAGAGAGGCGCTTTTCTCGCAGTAGGCCAGCAATCCCTGTAACGCGCACAGACACAGAATGCGGTATCTGTAAATAAAATTCAAACCTTCCAACAGTATCCACTAGCTACAGGCTATACGCTGCAAGCAAGTTCAGACTGCGACGGAGAGATACTGGAGGGACTTAATGTTTGACGCGATAGAATTCAAATGCAGGTATTTTTGACCTTTAGATCAAAAGCCTGGGATAATGTTCATCCCTCCATCTATGGCAAAGTGTACAATACATGTCACATATATATATACACTACAGCCTTCCCGACCTACTTGACTCTCAGACGCGCACAACTTTTGTGCCAGGGTCAAGTGCCGTCTGAATGTAAAAAAGGCATCGCCCCACATCCCAAGAAAACTGTACTTCGGGATGGGGCTAAACAAGGAAAAATTCCTACCATCAACCTTCCTTTCGGTGGTGAAAGGGGTGGTAGGAGGGAGCTTGAAACTCCGGTCATCCAGGCTTCATGTATGCAACCCCTGTCGGAGAACACATACACTACAGCCTTCCCGACCTACTTGACTCTCAGACGCGCACAACTTTTGTGCCAGGGTCAAGTGCCGTCTGAATGTAAAAAAGGCATCGCCCCACATCCCAAGAAAACTGTACTTCGGGATGGGGCTAAACAAGGAAAAATTCCTACCATCAACCTTCCTTTCCACGCTTCCCTAACTCGGCTGCCACAAATCTTCGTTGGGCAGCGCGAATCAATGGTAGCTTCTGTACCGGAAGGTTGATGCAGGCATACTCTTGCAAAGCTTGATCGAGGTAAAGGCGCGCCGTTGCAATGTGACGCCAACGTCCTCTCTCAAGCAACTCATCAAAAGTTGCACCCTCATTATAGGCTGCAGTAGCTGCTCCTCTCCGGATGCTGTAGGGCAGGTAGTTGAAATCCTGCAAGCCCAGGTGTTGCACCACATCCTTCCAAACTGATCGGAACTTGGCAGCGGATGTGGTCACCAAAAAGTCCTCCTTACGAAGACCTGCACACAAATAGCGCAGGCTTTCAATTGCAATCTTTTCCTTAATTAGTACCTTTTCGGATTGAAGAAGGTTTCGTTGTGTCGTCTTCGTGTTGACCAGAAAAAGGACGGCGCTCTGGTCGGGCGTCCGAGGCAATATCACATGCTGCCTCTGCAAAAGGAACATCTCCCCCGTGCGAAGGAGTCCAGCATAGCCCACGGTGCACAAGCAGGCCAACCGAGACCACTGCCATTGTAGCAGTACCCCCGCAAAGGAGAGCAAAAGTGATGGGGAAAGGGGCGTCGCTCGCCGTGGTTCCTCCAATTTGTTCCACAGTGAAAGGAGGCGCCAGGACTGTCTCAGTTGCCCCTTCAGCGACGGCCTGTGAAACTGAATCCCCGCAAGGGTATAATTGGCCTTCACCTTGGGCTCTCCATCCTCCCACAGCATCTCAACGTAGGAGGCCAAAACCTCATCGACTCCACTGCTGTGAAGGAGTTCGCTCAAGGGAATCTTTGTGAAACTTTCTAAATCCTTAAGTGCTTCTTGGTACCTTCCTTTGGTACTTTGTGAAACCTGCTGCTCCGTTAGTTTTCCGATTTTCTGCCGCTCCGTGCGCCTCTCCTCCTTTGTGTTCATCTGCTTAATCTTTGGGGGCATACTTTCGACTGGGTCCATCAGCCGGGTTCAGCCGGCTTGCAATCCAGGCCCACAAAGGATAGAGGTTCAGAGCGACACACAGAGCAGCAATTTTTCTCAAGATTCTATTGATCTTCCTCGACGAACTCCTTCCTTTTGTCAGCACTGCCAGGCAAATCTGACTGTCCGACAGGTGCAGGAACCTGCAGCTATGGAAGGCGGCAGAGCGGGCTCGCCACTGGAGCGTTCTCAAAATTGCCCGCAACTCCAGCAGGTTGATGTGCTCCGCTCGCTGCCACTTGTAGGCCTGGCCCACCTTCCAGATCCATCTGTTCGGGCTCACTGAAGTCCTTAGGACAGCATCAGGCCTGTAAACGACCTGCAGGTCGAGCCGCACATCAGATCCTCGGAATTCCATCCGGCGCAGGTACTGATGGATCAGCCGGACATTGAGGGTCTGGGCTTTTGCCCGCCCACGGGTACTGTGACCCGCCAGGCGGAGCCATTTCGCTCGACGAGGCGACCGCTTCTCAAATTCCTCGTGGAGGCTCTGCTCGTCCCCCTCACTCAGCGGCATCGCCTGCGACCCCTCAACATCCAGCTCCCCATACTCTTTAATTTCGGTGACCCCCATGGACTCATGCCAGTCCTTTAAGATCACCTTTGGCGTCAGGGGATCAGTTCGCACCTGAAGTGACCACAACCAAAGATCGATCAGGCAAGCCACTGTCACTGCATGGAAGCTGTTTCCCAACGCCGCCTCACGAGCTACGACTTGCCGATCCGCTTCTCGCTCATCCCTGGCCTCCTTCTTGAACATCCCCAGCGTGTACCCAGTGGGGTACCCCATGAGGCGCTCTCTCTCGTTCACCGACGCCACTCTAAGCTCCTTGGTCCCTTCATGTTGGAAGAGATACTCCTCCTTGTAGGTGTACGGGGGATACTTCATCCGGTCAGCCTTCCACCGTTCAATTGTCGGCCCATCGCACGAGGCAATTCCGGCCGGAGACGGCGGTGGCCTCCCTTTGGCTCGGGGGATGGCTCTGGTGAAGGTCGGCAGTCGCGCCTCTTCATTCTCCACTGCCGCCAGCCATTTCCATCCCTCATCAGGCACATGTTCCAGCGGTTCAGGCCCTTCTTCAAAGACCACTTCCTCATACAGCTCATGGTGCCCTCGGGTGAAAGATGGGTGATCTTCCAGTTCAGTGCTGGCCCAATACAGCCGCGGCCTCCTCACCCACGACAGGCCACTGGAGCAAACCTTGATGGGTCTGGCCTCAAGAACTCGACTCATCTCAGTGATGTCCTCCTCATCACCTACCACATTTTCCAACATCCCCAAGAAGCAGATCTCCATGGATGCTGCAGTCTCGCCGATCCATCCCAAGACGTCCGCAAACTTATAGAATAATTTTGACCTTGGGTCCTCCAAGTGCTGTCGGTGGACTGATAGTTTCGACAGTCCTTGGCACGGTGACCCTCCTCCAGCGATCACACCTGTGATGCCAGGGACACTGTGCATCATACGCCCGATGTCTTTTCGGGTCAGTTTCTCTATATCCACCACGATGTCGCAACCTGGCCACCTCGTCAGGTTCAGACGCCTGCATTCAGGGTTTTGTTCAACCACCACCAAGCGGTTGACTGGAACCTTTGCCAGCTGCAAGGCTCTTGATAGTCCTCCGATTCCCGCAAAGAAATCGAAGACCAGGATCACCTGCTTCTCATCAAAACTCAAATCCACACTCGGGACTTCCTCGAGCCCCTCTTCCGTGGTATAAACCTCTTTCAGCCCTTGAGAGGTCAGTCGCGCACCGTAGACCATTCCTCCTCCATGCTCACTTGCATCAGAGGCCGTAACCACCTCATTCAACCCAGCACGCAAGTCAGTCACCCTCAGGGCCTGACTCATGCCTGCCAGGAGCACTTCCTCCACTGACTTGACACCCAGCTCAAGCATGGGCGCCCCATCACCTACCTCCTTCCAGAGGTAATCAAAAATTCCAAAAAGAGGCCTCCTGAACTGGAGTGAGTGGACCTCCCTGCCCAAGAAGACTTGCAATGCCTTCCTCGGCACTTGGGGCTGCCTCAACAGCCAAAAGCCCAGAGATAGGCTGTCCAAAGCTCGTTTCGTCGAGCACCTCAAATCTCCTCTGTCTCCATCCACCACAGCTCCCAGTTTCTCGGCCTTGGACGCCCTGATCAAAGCCTTCTCCTTGCTTATGGGGATTCCCCAATGCTGATAGGCCAGACGGAGCCGCTCCTGCTCTTCGCTGCTTTTGCCTTCCATTTCCTTGGCTATCTTGGCGTCCATCACTTCCATGATGTTCACATCATCAATGTACAGTGACCACATCACCTCTTCCAGCTCCAGGTCCGGGAAGATGGAGTCACGCCGGATCTCCGTGGGTCCCAGCAGTCCACCACCGCCTGCCAACGGCGATCGTAGCGCCAAACGACGGTGAGCATGCTGTAGGATGCCTACCGCACTCGACCATCCCATCGGCAGCACGGTGGCCCCCACATAAACTGCTCCATCTCGGTCAATCCCCAAGCATCGCCAAGCCACCTTGCTGGCAAAGCACATCAGCCGGCTCCACTCAGCTGGAAGTCGGAACAAGTAAAAAGCTGCCACAAGGTCGTCAGCTGACATCCGGATGACTTTCCCCGCTGGCAACACCACATGTTGAAGGGAGGGGGCTCCGGCCAAGCTTCGGACGTCCCCAGCCACAATCTCTGTCACTGAGTTGACTGCACGGAAGTCCATAATGAGTCGAAGGATTGCCCTCTCGTCCTCAAGGAATTTTCCCGGCTTGGGAACGCCGAAAGCCCCGTTCAAGATGGCCTGCCCCTTGACCTTCACTGGGTCTTCGACGGGCTGCACCAAACCTCGCCGATAAAGCTCGCCTGCTATCTTTTCCCATTGCTCTTGGCTCGCATGAATCTTTGGGGCAGGGACGTCATCAGGCAGCTCATCCTCAGGCAGCAGGGTACCCAGGGGATTCTCAAGTTTCTCCCTGACTTCTCCCTCACAAAGCTCGGCGAGCGCCACACTGGCTCCATACCCCATCGGGGGAAGCCCTGGCAGGATCTGATCAAGGGTCAGCCGCTGGGCTTTCTCGACCACCTCCCCATGGTATGACACCCGAACGTCCCCCAGCTTCTTTCCCCACTCTCCCATTTCGGGTGACCTGGGTACTTTGCTGGTCGACTCCGAGTTGTCATCCACGAAGACCTTCACTAACTCCCAGATCCTATCCAACGCCTGGCTCTGAGCTTTTCCAGGGGGCCCCGCTGCTACCTCTCCTTTGCCTCCACCTCCAGTCCAAAGAAAGTTCAGGACCGTCACTGTCAGCCCATGCCATACCAGCAGCCCAACTTTTCGACTGAGCCTCCCAGCTTTGTCTTTGCTCATTTTCTTTTCAGCCCAGCTGCCTGCCAGCCTTCTGAACTCACCCTCTTCCTGCAGATTCTTAAGCTCAGTCACAGAGTCATCCCAGAGTGGCAGGGGTAGAAGGCTCCGCTGCCTCCTGTTCCTTTGGCCACTTGAAGACCCCGGCACTAGGGCACGACTCAAATAGCTTCCAAGGGGTGTTCCACTTCTAAAGGCTGCCACAGCCAGCAAAGCCCCGCACTGGGAGATGCTCAGCCCCCCACACTCTTCCGACTGGAGCCAACTCTTGAGCACTCCTAACAGGTGCTCCCCTCCTTCCTCTACTTGAGCGGACTGGAGGGACTCTTGTTCCCAGTCGGTCTCGGCGTCGGGCTCCTCGTTCTGTCCGTCTCCTGCTCCGGGCCCTTTCCTCTTCCTTGCCCCTTCTGATTCGGACCTTTTCCTTTCTGGCGTCCTTTCTGTTTCCATGGCCTCAGGGGCTTCCCTCTCTTCAACCATCCTTTTGTGTCTCCTTTTCCTCCTCCTTTTTCTTGTATGGTCCGAGGGTTCTCGTTGATGGTCACCCTCCTGGTCTCTCCTCCTCCTTCTGGACCTGCTTCGTCTCGAGGGGGTGGCGTCACGGCACTCATCTTTTCCCGAATGCCGCCGCCGAGTCCCTATTTGGGAGACTTGTTCTTCTGAACCATCTCCTTCAGCTTGCTGGCACTCAGTTCCAGCTTTGCTGCTCTCCTCCTCTCTGCTTCCGACGTCAGGGAGGCGGCCATCGGTGGGATCAGCTCCTGATGTTTCGCTGTGTGCCATCCTTGCTCGGTGAAGCTCGTCTCGAGCGCCTTCAGGCGCTGGGAGAGTAGATCCCCCAGCTCCGGGAGCCGACCTTGGAGTAGTAAGTCCACTCCCGTCCCAATCGTTATGAGCTCCCTGTAGTTGCGGATCCCTATCACCGCTGGAGGGTGCTGCACTAGCACCACTTGATTGATGTACGCCATGACTCGGCGACTTGCCCAATCTTCCTCCTCCGGGCCCTCGGTGCTCCTCTCTGCCAAGTATCGGGTTAACTCCCGCATCGTCTCCTTCAGTAGCTTCCCGGGGTGTTTTTGAGACAGCCGCCAAAGCTCTTCCTCCCCCCGGGAAGAGGGCTTTTGAAAACCCTGCGACGTCTCACTGGTTTCGGACCCCTCACTGCGGCTTTTACCTTTTGAGGGACTCCGGACTTTCTCTCGCCTGCGGCCTCTGCTTCTGCTCCTCCGACGCGTCCTCCTATTCTTTCTCTCCTTGTCCTTTTCACGCTGGAAGTCACGGGCTTCAGCTGCCCTGCGTTGCAACAAGGCCCCGACAGACCCTCTCGGAGTCCCCTCCTTGCGCTGACCCTTTACCTTGTCTTCACCTTCTAAGGGTTGATCATCCTTGGTCAGCTCCTTGAGGGCCTCAGCTGCCGCCTTGTCCAAACCTGTCTGCCCACCGCCCCCCGCCCCACCAGGGAGCCTGGGGGCAGGAGGCAGGTCCGGCTCCGGCACCGCGACCGCAGGTGTAAAGTTTTCAACCCACTTCTGAACCAGCCTTAGCCCAAGTTCCCTGCTATAAGGGCTCTCCATCATCAGCACTGGGCTCATCAGCCGCCACTTCTCCAGGTGCACCAGCTCTCGCCGATCTTGTCTTCCCAGCCTGACGGCACAACCGCGCCTCTCATCACCACATATATGGTACACACCTTTCCCATCATTCAGGCGGTTCTGGGCATAGTACTCATAGTACTCATCCGATGCCACAAGGTGCACAGCCAGGAAAAGGCCTCTGGCCATATCTTCCCATTCCACCAATTCAATGATGGCTCGGCCTTGACTTCGCCCTCTGTCATCATAGCATTCATACTCCACATACCCTCCTTTGATCATCATCGATCGGGCATGTTCAAGGACATCTCCGGGGTACACCTTGGCGTCCGTCCACATGATGTCTCCTCCTTGAAGGCCAACCGATAGCGCCTGATGCCAATCACTCATAGTTCCACCTTTCCTCAGGAGCTTCCTCTTTTCCTCCTCCATTGCCTCAGGGTCCTCGGGCTCAAGCCCAAAGGGTTAGAGGCTCAGACCTCCCTCCCTAAAGAGGCTTCCAAAGGACCCCTGTTTCAGGCCCTGCGTGAACCTACCCCAAACGGGGGCCTGGTCCACCTTGAAAACCAACCAATCAGGCCTACCCCACGAGGGGGGTCTGGCCTTTAATCCTCCCTCCCTGGTCAGCCTCCCCCACAACGAGGTCTGGCTGCCCAGGAAAGGATATTTCCAACCCTTGTCTCAGGCCACTCCCCTGCTCTCACCTCACAAAGAGGCCCAGAGCTGAGAGTGGCCCAAAACTTGAGCTTGAAACTCCGGTCATCCAGGCTTCATGTATGCAACCCCTGTCGGAGAACACATATAATTCCATCTGCCTGGAACCTTGTGATGACCCTTGGAAACCCATCCGTTGACGATGACGTTGAAGCTTTACCCAACGTATCCCTATGGGACATCTGTTGGGTTTCCCAGGCCATGGAAAATTCGAAGCCTTTCCAGGTGAGTAATCTGAGTAATCCAATCAGACTAGAAATTGCAATTTAATTCAATTTCCTTTTGCCAAAGTTGCTTACATTTTGACTGCTGCATCCCACATACACCTCCGAATTTGACATGGAACCTTTTTGAAGATGATTTTCTGCCTGTATTTACCTCGCAGTTGGGGAAATACCATTAAAAAAATAGCCATGCATCCATGAAACCCCACTTTATATAGTGGATGTTTGATAGTATAGTGAAACAACCATTTATTGTTCACTGATCTTTTTTTGTTGCTGGTGATAATCCCATGTATACCATATAAATCAATTCAAAATTCCCAGATAAATCACCTAACAACAATCACTTCAAATCTGTGTTCGAAACCCCTGTGGGTTGATGATTACAGAGCATTAGAATTACACTATCTAACGTATGGGGGATTATCAAAATCCTTTAGGGGAATCCCGTTCTCAACCAACCAGTGCAATGGAACATGTCCCATAAATGAATGATTCTTGGGTGATATCCAGTGATATCCTATAATGTGGCAAACCGAATTATAAACCATCCCCCAAAACACCATAAATGGGTGGTATACACCGTCCCAGAATAGTAGGCTGATTATCGGGTTTACCGTATTACTTGCAACCAAATCCTTACTGGTGCTCAGTAGGGAATGCGGGAATGAGATGATTGTTAATAGCTATTATGGTTCATTCCCCCATTCCCTAGCAAACACCAGTAAAAATCCTACCTTGCAACCCAATGATAAATCATCCCCAAATCCCAATGATTAAACATATAAATAAATCCCAATCATACATGACTGTAAGTATACTATATTTATCATTGGATTAATGTAAATTACCATTCAGTAAGCATAAGTAACACATTTCTTATCAACCAAATTTCACCGCCATACCTAAGAATCCCACATTCGCAAATGGGGGTGTCCTAAAATGGGAAACCATCGGTTTCAATACTCAAATGGTCTATTTGGATGATTGGGGGTGTAGCTATTTTTGGGAACCCCCTATTTTTTGTTATTAACCCATGTTATCATCCAAATCCCACCAATCATTCTCCAATATATAGTTGATGAACAAATAACATTATTATTAACTAACTAGCAATCGGTCCATAATTATAGGTAATCCCAATCCATAATTATAGTATCCGTAGCCGTATCCCAAACCCCACCTTGCAAAAGTTCTTCCAAAAAGGCCCGCTGTGCTCCAGCGCCCCCAACGGCGATCAAAAAGCGCCGTGGCAAGTTCTTCTCGAGGCGGCCCAGCCGCGCCTATGGCTACCCACCGCTGCCAGCAGGGGATGAACCAACAAAAATGGTCGAAAAATGGTGGGAAAATTAGGCAAACTGGTTGGAAATTGAGATGGAACTAACAAAAAGGGTAGAAACATGGTGGAATATGGGGATTTAACCGAAAAACATGCTGTGAAAATCGTGGAAATTTGGGATTGAACCGAGAAAAACGACGATTATTGTTGGTAAAATGGCTGATTAGTTGGTGAACCAAAATGCTGGTGGAAACAACTGGCGATTTATGGTGACTTATAGTTGATTTTTTATAGCAAGTTGGTTTATTTATCTTCACTAGTATAAGTTGGGTTTATGGCAATGACATAATTAGAGTTTTCACGGGATAAACATAAACCCACAAACATCACTTGGAGGGCACCTTGTAAATGTGTGGATTCATTTTATGCCAATTAACTAGCGGGGATATAATCTTGGATACGATCTTGGAAATACAACTATATAACTGACCAGCAATATCAGAGGTGACCTTTTTAACGGGTCACAAAGGGGGGTATGAGATGATATGAGGATGGTAATCTAACATAGCCGGCAAAAAAATGCCATGAAAGTAATGAGTACTTCATCTGCAAATGGGTCATTGTCCATGGCCATGTTGAATTACCAGAGGGTAACGAGCGGTGAAATATATATAAATAAAATTATTACTGTTATATATAATAATTATAAACAACTATACATAATAATAATTTTATAAAATAATGATATATAATTAAGTATAACACATAACACCAACAATGTGATGTCTGAGTTTGTCTAAAGGAAGGGACATCCCCCCACATAGCCAACAAAACTTGAGAGCAAGCAGAGGCGGACGAAAGGTAGTGTAGTGGGGAGGAAAACGCTGCGCCCCTTTTGTTCAGTACTGGCGGGAGATGCCACAGCAGAGGCACACTCTCCGTGAGGCGTGAGGGAGATGTCCCTGTAGTCCAGCATAATTGGTATGTTTCAGCTTCAGCAACGGTTGCTGCAAGGAGTCTTAAAAAGTGGTTTTAAATAAAGAGAGAGGGATGCCACCAGGGCCTCATTTTTACAGTGTTTTGTGACGTTTTTTAAATAAATTGTGTGTATTTCTACTCATAGTTTTGTTCTTATTTTTGTCCAAATGCATTTTTTTAACACACCTGAAAGCACTGCATTTTTAGAAACGTGGTAAAATTGGGGCCCTCCTGGCGTCCTTTTCTGTAAGTAAACACCTTTTCGTGCATCATTTCACGCTGCACAAGACACTGTATCATGTAGCCATGCTCTGGATAAAGTCATCCCAGACTGCGCAAAACCGTTGGTGTATCGAAAAAAGAGGTTTTAAATAAGAACGCCGTCCAGCTGTTCAAAAAAGGGGTCTTTAATAAGATGTTCTCTCCAGAGCATGACTGCATGATACAGTGTCTTGTGCAGCGTGAAATGATGCACGAAAAGGGGTTCGGTTTATTTGAAACACCTTTTTAAGACCCCTTGCAGCAACCGTTCCTGAGGCTGAAACATGCCAATTATGCTGGACTACAGGGACATCTCCCTAATGGAGAGTGTGCCTCTACTGTGGAGGCCGTTACCACGTCACCCGTGGGAATTGAACCCATGATCATTTCGAGGGCCCCCCCTTATAATTAATTGAAATTGAAATCTAATACATAACGGTCGCCTAGAAATCCTAGAATTCTATGTTTTGCCCGGACTAGCCCCCCAATACCCTCTATGATTGTGCTGAAGCACGGGGAACTCAGGTAGCTGACGCTACCTGTCGTGATACGAGTATGGAGAATATGATGATCAACCACACAATTTGAGGATACTGGCTTAGTCCTTAGTAGAAGAAATTGCAAAACAACAACATCGACCTTGGATCAGAAGCTGTGCCCGTCCTTGCTGTCTGGGACTGCGTTGATGCACAGGTCGCTAGATACCCAATGCCCCGCCAGGAAAAGGCTGTGCGAAGGACATCCCATATCCAAGAGTTTGTCAAAGTATGAAGGTGACTGTACCAGATTGATCGCGCCCGGTACCAAGACAAAGTACCTCACAAGTGTTGGAAGAACTGTGGGGTCTCTCTGCGGCATTGTGAGGCATTGAGATGGGGACCCAGATGGGCACATGCAATACTTGGTCCCCTTTCAGTATCCTTCTGCGAGGTGTAAGGATTAAGACAGTTGCATTCCCTGGCGCAGTTGCATTGCATGCTCACTTTGTAGCCTTTGGACATCTTTGGACTACCAAAAAAACCTCTGAGTGTTTGGCTGCCTTGATGGTACTGCACAGCATCATCTGCATCGGTGATTACTAGTGTCATTCCCTGGCCCGCATTGCAAAAGTCCACTAAGCCACCAAGATACACTCAATCTAGGAAATCTATGGAAATCTCGCATCCCATGTCCCAACCCACAAGTTCAACCCAAGTCGGGCCCCTTGTCTCCCATCGCTGACTGGTTGCTGTGGGTAGTTGTCAAAGATCAAATTGATGACCGTCTTGAACCCACATGCTACAGCCATGTTTCCCACAATGGGATGGCTGCTGATCACTGGCGTGTCTTTGGGAAAGGCTGCCATGATGCCCCGGATCTTCTGGGACAAGGCCAAACAACATCTCAAGGCATTGGCGTCTCCCTGCGGCACATTGAATTGGGGATCTATACACCTTGTATAAAGGCATGGAGGGGCAAGTCTAAGAGCAGGAAAAGGTGGAAAACTGCTTGGGTTTGAGGGTATCAAACAATGAGAAACGATATGAAACGACTCAAAAAGCCTTTCAAATAGATTCTCCGGCAATCTACAACAATCCGGTGAAGCTATTTGGACAGGTGCCAGGATGTGCCAGGTATTACCAGGTACAGCTACTTTTTTAGGCAGGGCCTGCAACATCATCTTGCCCCACATGGCATCAATCATGCCACCGAGGTTTGAAGCGATGCGGGACATTCGCGAATACTGCCTGCAAAGCAGCGAATGATTGGCTGAACCCGAATGCCGCACATTGCGAATCAAATGAGGAAGCAGTCTTGACTATGTCTTGACTATGTCTTGATTATGTAAAGGAAACTGAAAAGTCAAAAAAAACATAAAAAAAAAGCTACGAGAGCATCGCAGTTGCAGTTCTAAAACCCATCTTGTCAAGATGCTTATCCATGTTGCGCACAATGGCAGCTTCCACACAGTCAGGTGACAAAATGTCCTCAGTTTCCAAAGATAGCTCCTGCTTCCCCAGCTTCTTACACCACAGCACATCAGCATGACAAGTACCGTCGTAGAGGAAACACATTCTAACATCAAACCAACAGGCACCAGCGGGCAGCTAAACATAGTGTTTTTGAATGTTTTTGACCACATACCTCAAGCAAACTAGACATGTGGCTATGAGTCACAACCCTGGTACCCTAGATAACCCATCCAATAGCTGGCTAATGGATATAATGGATGTTGATTCCCCATATGGTAACATATGGTAAAATATAGCAATCCAGGCCCTATCCTGTCCAGGTGGCCAAGAGGAAAGGCTTCCCACCCAGCTCCAGAGCCCAGGTCAAGGCCGAGTAGGCAATGCGGTGATGGCCATATCCCATCCGCACTGAGCCGACAATCACCTGATGTCAAGCTTTTAGATTCGCCAGGAAAACAGCCAGGGCATGTCAATCATGTCATAGATAATTGGATAGCTATATACTACTGGATAGCTATATGATCTATATGAGTCTATATGCAACTACTAGCATGTGAGTCATGATGTCAAAGAATGTTAAAGATTATTTTTGTTTTAGAGTCTTTTTCGGCATCCATCTTCCAACCCTATGAATCTGGAAAGGCCAAGCTGTGGAGATGTCAAAACATTGGGGGTTCCATGGGGGAACCCCAATAGCTGGATGGTTTATTTCATGGAACATCCTATTGAAATGGATGATGTGGGGGTACCCCCATGGATTGGAAACCTCTTTGTACCAAAATACCGTTGAAAGGACTCTAAGCTGCATCCAAGCAACTGTTTTGCTGCTGCTCAAGATCTGCGCACCCTGTCAGGGACAGTGTTCGTTTCCCACCTACCATTGTCCATTCACTGTGCATACCCTCTGGTAAACTAACATAGCTATTGAAAATGGCCATTTATAGTGGATTTTCCCATTAAAAATGGTGGATCTTTCCATAGCTATGTTAAATTACCAGAGGGTATTTATGTCAAGTCCCCTTAAAAAAATGTCCCCATCTCTCCGTCTTCGCAGAGCCAGACCCGCGTCATGGCCTGCTGCATTGACTCGTCGGTGTTGCTTTGGCTGTGTTCCAGCAAACCAAGTCCCTCAACAATGGGCGACTGCTGCACTTCAAATGGTATCTGCCGTTCGCCCGGATTCAACGCGGGGAAACCCGCAAAGGTCATGCCCATCATGAAGCTCACATAGTTACCTGGGGTTGGGCATATGCCAAAATGATGTAAAATGATGTAAAATGAAGCGAATCTTTGGGGGTGTTGAATTCTGGGCCATATCAGTGCTTTTCTTCGGCAAACTTTGGGACTTGGATGCCAGGGGGTCTCCCCCAAAAAGATCTTCGCTACAATGACTCAGTGTACCAACGCCATCCAACGCCCAGGCACGATCTCTGCAGGTTGCAGACTGATGGACAAAGTCCTTTGGAGCACTGGATGAAGGCTACAAAAAGAGCCTTTCAGAAAGTCAAAGACCTAACTAGACCAGAACTACTATGATTATATACTATGGGGTTGTCTCAACATTTGGAACTCTCCATCCCATCCCATGGTTAAACATGTTAAAAACCCGCTTCCATTTTATAGGTCCTCAGTCTGCTTGTAGGGCCAAGGCTTACCCATGGAGTCCAAAGCATCACCACTTTCCGCAGGACGGTTGCAGCAAATCCGACATATGGCACCACCCATCGCGGCGCTGGAAGCGCTAAATCCCTCTGGACGAGGAAATCTATGGATCTTAAGCTTCAAAGCTGCGGCATGAAACCTGATTGCCATACTGAGGATCTTGTCTTTCAAGTCTGCAGATCAAGTAGAATCACAACACTCCTGTTGAGATGAAGAACTAAATGGGTATGGATCAATACCTATTAATACCATTTCTAATGGGATGAACATCCATTTACCAGCTATTTTGGGGTTCACTAGGTACCAGGGTTTTGACCCATCATTAAATCTGGCAAACTTGACATCCGAAATCAGCGCACATGGACACACCAGCAGCCCACATATCGCAAGGGAAGCCATAGCCCCGACTATGCACTGGCATCAAATGCTGCTCTGGCCTCAGATTTTTTCGGGGCGCCCCAATTCTGGCATTTTGATGCATTTTGCCATTTTACCCGGGAAAATGATCATCATTGAGAATCCATTGGAATTGGAGGTAGTCTATTTTCATTTATTTTCAATCAAATTCAAACAGAATTCGACTATGCGGGATCGCTTGATAGATGCCGGCAGCTGTTGGCCGACTGGGCACTGTGCACATCGATTGCAACTGGAAAACTATGCTCTGGGGCTATTAAATGCTATTAAGAAGGGGCGTGAAAAAATGTGTGTCCAACTTGAGTGATACAATATGATGCAATATGATGCAATGCTGTTGCTCTGCACAGCTTCATGGTGCCACTTGTGCCACTACGATCAGAATCTCCCAGATTTGGACATGGCAAGAATTACATGTCAAGACATATCAAGACACTGTTTTTCCATTGTCCTCAATGATCTCAATGAGCCTCATGATACTTGCTAAGCACGCACTATTCTCATATTAGCCACACAACAGTGAGAACAAGCGACAGGAAACTCATGCCATCCAGCAATGCTTAGCATCCGACGCCATGAAGGCAGGCGTACCGCACTTGTCTGTTAGGACGTCGCCTTTACACGGCTTGATCACACATTGGAACATTTTATCAACATTTCCAAGCTATCCATAGCTATCCTCTCCATCTCTTAATCATTTGGGGATGTCCATACATAATACCACAATAACTGGATGGTTTATCATGAACTATCCTATTAAAATGAATGGTTTGGGGCACCCACATGGATTGGAAACCTACATCTCAGTGTTTTTGGATCTAAACAATGCTGCACTGCAGAACAAATGTACCACACCTGGGCGCACATAGATTGCCAGACCAAAGTCTGCCAATTTCAATTCGCTATCCTGACAGATCTGACAGATCTCGTCGTCAGCCATGGCAATAAATTCTGGATAACAATAACATAACATAACATAACAATATCTAAAATAACAATCACATCCAATCGTCACAGAATCACCAGGAGTGATCGGTATAATCGAGGCCCTGGCGCCAGCAACCATGAAGTTGTCAGGCCTACAGCAACAACCGCGTTGAGTTTAAGCAACGGATGGCGGAAACCAAAAACTGCGGGAAAAACATGGAAAAACATCGGTCAACTGATCAGTTGGGAACAACATGGAACAGCATCTAAGTTCCGAACTTGATATCTCGATGGCAAATGCCTTCCCGACAGGTCAGGACAACTCAAGTCAGTTGATGTCAGTTGTTGAGCCCACATGTAAAAACACACCTCTTTGATCCTCTTTGGACATCTGGATGAGCTGGTATATAGGTACTGCAAGTTACGCAATGACTTATCAACATTTCATCCATTCTCCGTGAACAAGAGATTCGTAGGGTTTGCCATTGTTTGCCGATAATAAACACAAGTTCCTGTCTGCTTGATTGACCTTGTGTCCGAGAATTTCGTAGGATCAGGCCGAAAAATACTAAAGGAATCTCACTGCCCTATGGACATGCAAGCAGCTGCATAGCCATTGTCAACAATCAAGAGAGAAACCAGCTTGTTCGAAAACCTTGTTGGCACAACAGTATAAGAGAATGATAGAGAATGTATGCCACAATCCATTCCCTATGTTTGGTACGCAACTAATTCCCATCCATTCCCTATGTTCAAAACGCAGCGCCTTTGGCGTGCAAATGGCTCAAGGCTTCACCTGGGATACCCCTGAAATGAAAGTGTCCGGAACCGCCCCCGGTGTCCACAAACACGCACAGCCTGTTTGACATTTTTTCCTTTAATTTGAGGCTCCCAAACCTAGTATTCATCAAAAAACAACTCCCAAACCTTTCAAAAAACGCGTTTTCCTAGTTTGACAAACTAGGATCTTTTGGTTTGTCCAAGCTTTGCCGCTCAAGACCGATTTTTCCAGCCGTAGTTGCCCATGGAAAAGCTAGAATAGGGAACTTGCTTCTGAACGCGCGGAAAACGACAGATTCCTAGAAAGACAAACTATAAGATCTTTTTGTTTGTCCAAGCGTCGCTTAAAACAGATTTTTCCAGCCGTACGTAGTTGCCCATGGAAAAGCTAGAATAGGGAACTTGCTTCTGAACGCGCTGAAGACCTCAGTTTCCCTTGTATGGTGATGAGCTTATTTCTGAAGCTAGGTCGTTATTTCGGGGTGACGTCGGTGACGTCGTTTTAAATTGTCCAGATACATAATAATACCGAATGTCCATATATGTTCATGAGAAAATGAATGGAACAAACTAAGCATTTCATATGGAACATATGGAAAAAGGATGACAAGAACCAGCAGATCTAACCCGAAATCCAGGCCGGGATCACACATCTGCCGCATCCACTCCGCGGTGTCTTTTTCAGTAATGACCTCGACCAACCGACGAGCAATATTTTTGTTGGGCTGGAGTAGATCCACCATGTGAAAATATATCAAATTGTATAAGGCTCCATGGCATGCTATGGGCAATATATATATATTATATGAATATCAAATATTATTATTATTACACAGTTGTCTATTTTATGTAGTTCATTGTAGTTCTATATTTTCCAGATCAATGATCATTTGCGCATTTTTGGATAGAGTCAACATCCCTACTCCATGGCAATTGCCCTCAGAGCTGTGCTGGACCCAGCTCTTTGACCTCAGCGATGACCGATTCGGCCGATGTTCCCAGCGGAAGAAAATGACCGATGGCCAGGTAGATCAGCTCGCCTTGTCGCCAAAATCACCGCCATCACAATACTCAAGAGCCAGGTAGATGCTGCCGGAGTCCTGGAAAGACAACTTGGGTTTTCCATGGTTTTCCCATGTTTTCCCACAATAATCGACATGAGCTGATGCAAATTGCTTGGTCAATGCTTGGTCAATGCTTGGTCGATATATGAACTGGCATCGCAGCCATCGTGCCACAAGTTTCTCCAGGTGTCCAACTTGGTTTCTCGAATGCATGGAGTAGCACTGTACCAAGATGTACCAAGATGTACCAAGATGTACCAAGATGTACCAAGATGTACCAAGTCTACTTCTCTAAATTCTCTGGCTTCAAGTTTTCATGATTCCGTAAGACATTTGCCCAGGTACTGGCTCGTTTTCCAATGTAAGCTGCCCTCAAGAAACCTTCTGCATAAGTACAGCGTCCTCAAATGTGTCGAAGAGCTTTGTGATGTTTTCATGATTACAGGCCTGCAGAATGCACCCAGCATTCCACAAGTTCTGAGGCTATAACAACAGGACGTTTAATAACGACAGAATGTACCTACGGAAATGACACCCATCAAGCTGTGATTGCATGGTCACATGCAAATCTAATCAAATCTAGGGGATGCTGATGTTGCAACGGCATCCGAGAGTCAAAAAGGCCGCAACAACAACAACAACAACAACAACAGCGGACCTTCATCATTTTCACTTCCCTCTCGATGTCATGGCGAGTCACCTGGTGGAACAAACGCCGCAAAGTATCCCTCCCGCAAAGGCATAGAGGCTTGGAGGCTATATGAGGCTATGGCTATCTGATTTGATATGTTTGGTGGTTTCCATAAATGGGGGTACCCCCAAATCATCCTAATTTTCATAGGATGTTATACTACAAACTATAAACCATCCGCCATCTATGGAAACCCCATTAGATCAGAAGAACCACATGGAACCAGCTAGGATGCCTTCAGGCAGCAACACCCTGTGCCTTGGCTGCGTTTATCGGTTTGTCCCTAAAAAAAACTAGGATATACCGTGGCGGCTATCAAATGGAAAATTTGATAAACCCGATCATTGACCATCCCCTAAATCACCATAAATAGATGGTATAATCCATCCCCAAATGGTAGGTTTGTGGCATTGGCTTGCCAACATGACCCGAATTTAATGGCTTCTCCGAGCGCTGCCAAATGACGCCACGCTTCGGCATGCTCGCTTTGTCCATCTGCTTCACAGCAACCTCGATGGAAACAAACCATCCAGGTGATCTTGATGAAGACACCCAAACTAAACCAGCACATACAGAAATGATCATATAATATCATACATATATATAATTATATAATTATATATATATATTATACAGTATATATAATTATATAATAATTACCAATATATATATATATATCATCATATCCACATCCACATAAAGAATCAATGTATCATAATTCGTAGGTACACTATCGGAACATTCCCCTCCCCATATTAGTTGCTTGTGCTTTCAACACTGGACCCATCCCCAACTGCCACCAGGGCTGCTAGCTGTGTCACCACTCTGTCGGTGCTTTGCGCGCCACACGCTGCCGAAACTGCCTTGACCCAGTTTCACCTCAGCAACTCAGTCAATTCCTGCTGATCAGAAATCTCCAGAGTCGATGTCTATTCATGTGCGTTTGTTCAATGTAATTCTGACGAACTATATTAGATATTATATGACATACATATCATACATTAAATTATAAATAGATAATGTAATAACATGTAATAACAGTGTATTTTATCACATTTTAGTTTGTTTAGTATATTACTAGTTTGACATGTGGTTGGATTGGCTATTACGGTCTGAATGCGCAATGCCACAGCAGCATTGCATGACAGCTGAGTCAGCCGGTGTATCTTCAACTATGTTCACTTTTGATTACCAAATACTTTTTCAAATCTTCCAACACCCAAGATCATGCAACCATGTGCAGAGACATCCCCAATCTGGTCAACATGCACTTGCTTTGCAAGCTTGACGAGACCATTCTAGGCCACCCGGACTTTCTGCACAAAATAGATTTCATCAAGTTGCTGGCGACCACCAACCTGACTCAACAAATGCAGCACACAGCACGTACGCACATTTTTTTTTGTCAGAATATAAAGCAAAAGGATGCAAAAGGCGAACTTATTTCACACAATTTCGATGCCAACAATTCCTCTCAGCAACTGGTCTGAGTTGTATTTTGTATCCAGTCATCATATGTGTATCAAGACGACGCGGGGCTGAGACCAGCTCAGAGAGCATGTTGATGTCAACAGTTCAAATAAATGTGGGATGACCATCACACATCTTAACATCACAAAACATCAGCAGAAACTTGAATTGAGATTCGGGAAGACTAAAAAATGGCCCATCGCCACCCTTCCCCGCCTGCCCCATGTTGAAGCCCAACCCCTGGGCGGCGAAGTAAAAATTCAGTAAATCGACTGATCCAAACAGCACCATTTGTGGTATGTACCATATGTCATATATGACATCACAATCTCATAATATAGGTATAGTCGTTAGAGTATCAACGGATCTGCCAAGTTGTTGGTCTGTACCACTAGATCATCCATTTTTTGGGGGCCGGGGGTGACAATTTTGACTTTGACCACAGCCCCGAAACGATATCGGTACTGGTTGACACAAAAAAAAAACTGCTTATTGTACAGGTTCAATACCCATCGATGGCCCAATCCCCATTTCTGGACAAGCCAGATCTTGCTCTCGCGCCTGTGGACTGGGCCACTCCTGGTGAAAAATTGTCTTCCGCAAGACATGGGGAGGGGTCAAAGTGCTCCATGGAAATGAAATATCTACCAAAATGATCCAACATGGTGTAACCGTATTTACCAGAATAGCCGGGGTTTCCAGAACCCATGGGTTTCAGCACATTGTCCTTGTTTGATAATTTGGGATTACCCCTTGGTTCAAATACGTCCTTGGGATGGGTCAAAACCTTGGATTGGCTAAGGTATGCTATGGCCACAGCCACATCAGTTGCAAGATTCTTTTTGCAGGGAGATATTCATGTAATTAATATATATATATATTGTACATGTATAATATATATTATGTTAATAGAGGGATCATATCAAGCTGAATAGGGACTTGACACTGGAAGACAAGATCAACCATCAGGATTCCATGCCTGACAGGCTGGAAATGCTGCACCGAACTGTCGAACCTTCTTGGCTTGTAAGTGCGTTGGTGAGAGATGGTCTTCTGCCACTCCCTTGAGAAGTTGTTTTTCAACTTCTATGACTATTTCATGGATATTTCAATATTTCATGCTTTCTGGTTGGGTTGATTGCTGGTTGATTGCTGAGTATGGCTGACAAGTTCCTGACAACTTAACTGGGCCTCAAAAAGCTAAAGCTGAGCCATAGTAGCGTCAACGACGTGTGAGGCACCTCATTACATTGAGGTGTGTGGCTTCAAAGTGAAGCAGCCAAATGATGCACATTGCAGTCAAACATGTCAAAGTGCAAGAAAAAAAGAAGGACCACTCTTATGTTTGCCTATTACAGGCACTCATTGGAAATCAAGGACATAATAAAATTAGAAAAAAATGGAAAAACATAGGATTGACCTCCAAAAAAGGAAACACATGGGTGGACAAAAACCCGTGATTTTGACCTCGAATGTTTTTCCTATTGGTTTTCCTTTTTTTCCAATTGTTTTCTTTTTTCTATGTTTTTTCCTATGTTTCCTATTCTTTTAACCACAGTATTGTTTTCTAATTTTATCGAGGTTTTTGCAAATTATCACTTTTCCAGAAATTTGAGCCAAATTTCGGAATTCATTTTTGGGCACCTCCATTTTTTTCCGTTTTTTTTCCTTAAATTTTTGAAACGTGACAAATTGCAACACCTTGAGAAAATTAGGAAAACATATATAGGAGTAAAAGGGGTTTTCCAGTTGCTAAACGGAATGACTTCCTATACGTTTCCTCTTTTTTCCTAATTTTGTTGAGGTTTTTGTTTTTTGTATTTACGTTTCCAGAAAATTAGGAAAACAACAGGGAAAAATGGAGGTTCCCCAAAAAATGAATTCCGAATTTTGGCTACAGTAAAAAATCTGGAAAATTATTTTTTTACAAAAACCTCGAGAACATTAGGAAAAAATATTGGAAACATTATATAGGAACAAAGAGGAAAATTGTAGGAAACAATTCGAAAAAACATAGGGAAAAAAAGGAAGACTAATAGGAAAAACATAGGAGGTCAAAATCACGGGTTTTGTCCACCCATTTGTTTCCTTTTTTTGGAGGTAAATCCTATTTCTTTCCTATTTTTTACTATTTATGTAAACTCCCAGGATGCGCCTGTAACTTAAACATAAGACCACTCAGAGATTCAAACTAAAACATGTTCAGTGAATTTAAGAGGAAGTTGTCTTTCAGTGTTTTTCTCAACGGCCACAATATTCCCCACAAATGCAGCCGATGATGGCACCGTAACCTGCCATGCAATGCCACGGCGACCTTCGGGTGAAACATTGGCAACGGACATATGATGCGGACTCGCCTTCAAACCAGTGAGCTTTCAAACGCTTTCAAACGCTGGAATCAAATAGAAGAGTTGATGCATAATTTGAGGAAGCATCGTTTCCTGGTAACATGTGTGTGATAACATCCAGGCGGAGTGACACGATTCCAAGATTCTCAGGTTTTTGGACAGCATCAAACTATGTATCGAACTATACAGTATGTTTTTCCAGTTACTTAAATCATGTTATACAATGTTGTTTTTACATGTTTTTACTGAGTCTATGTGGGTCTATTCAGTCCTCCGATGCCTCAGTGCACTAATTTACGAGAGCATGGAAACACTCTCATTTTTCGCTGCCAGCGTGGCAGACAAAGTGCCGCTCTCCGGATTGAGGATTTGATGACACTCGCAAGCTTTGCGGAGAAATTGTTTGAATGTTTGAACTTCTGGAACTCGACATTTCTGTAAAGAACAAACTGCTGGGAGAAGCTCATAACCATCTGTGTCTGGCAGTGAACGAGCTCTGGGATAACCATCCACAACCATCCACAAGCACCCCAATCTCTCTGCAGCGACAAGAATCACAGCAGGCAGCACTCACAGCTGCATCAAGCGTCAGCCTACATCGGACGAATTCAAACCGTCCAGAACTGTAATGATCGCCACCCCTGAAAGCTGATATGAATCATAATTCGTGAATACTTCTGAATAGGAATCATTCTCCGAACATATATATGATATTATCTGATTGTAATTGCTGTGTATATGACGTAATCAAATGTATGTGTATATTGTATATATCTATATATGTATATATATATAATAATAATATAATAATATTATATAATGTGTGTGTGCTGTACTTATCTGAATGGCGATAATTCATGATAATTCCATCTTGCCTTTCAAGGAGAACACCGAATTTCCGCTGCTTCAAGGCGCCCCTACCTGGATTGGCTGATCTTTGGTGGCCGCACTACCTGGCAGCATCCCGCCAAACATGGGGAAATGAGGAAATCCAATGGCAAACCCATGGAAATCCAATGGTTCAAAACCAATCTAACCAATCTAACCTCCTGGTTGATTTGGTGGCACCTGGTGGCCTTAGGACGCTTAGGAACCACATGGCCATGGCTCAAATTTCGTGACATCCAAAAAAGTCTTTGGATTGTGTTCGGATTTTCAATACAATTGACATAACAAGGGTGGTACCAGTACCGACCAGTACGTTCTCCCCCGTGCTGAGGTTCAAACTCACTGGTGGGCCACATCCTAATAGTTGAAGTACTCTCCTGGCGCGGCACCAAGGCCCTAGTGGTCGAAGGCACCGAACTGCTCGGGGCCAACATGTGATGAAAAATGATGAAACATGACGAAACATGTTTTTGGTGTTGGTTTTCAAGAGCGGAAAACTGAGCTCTTTTTTGTACAGCCATTTTTGTCCTGACATATACTGACTACTTCAGAGTCCCAATCAACGGCCAGAGCCCAAGTGAAAATCCAACGGCCGAGGAACAGGAGTAGGTCTTGCAAGACCCCAGGCACAGATCGCACCTGGGTCATAGTTCTGAAAAACACTGGGTGAAGAGCCGAAAATAGATCCAGGATGATCCAGGTATAGATTGTATTCTTCTTTGTTTCCTCTAACTCTAAAATTGATGTTTTTCTCTAAATCAATACTGTAGCCATCCACCGCTCTGAAGTCAGACAGTAGTTTCATGTAGTTTCAGGATATGAATTTGGCATCCTACTCCAAATGATCTAATCACTCGAGTGAGGCTCAGGCTGACGGGTCGCTGACCAACTCATACAAGACCTGCTTAGCTTTTGTTGACTGAAGGTGTCACTTCACTAGAGAATACTAGAGATATCTATTCAGGTTTATTGGTTCTGGAACTTGGTTAGGAGGGGTTGCAATTACCACTAAGTGCCGTCCAAATGCTTAAGTTAAGCGCATTGCTTGCTTTCTATTGTTGGAGAGCGCAACAATAATTCTAATTTGGCAGTGGATCCTATTGCAAGTTTGCGGAATGGAAAGGGGGATCGCATATTGTCATGTCAAAACGATCCTCCTGAGAGAGGCAACAGGAAATCAGACTAACAATAGACGGGACGAAACATATTCAAGAAAGCATGTTATATATTTGTCATATTAATTGACGAGTATCAAAACGACATGGGAAAACTCACTCAAAGAACAAGTACTGACAGTACTGTAATTTTAGAAGAACAGGAGTAAATAAGAAACGCCATGTTTGGTATGTGGATACATAAACAATTGGATTAGCAAGTTGTATAATTATATATTGTCTTGTTATATGTATGTTCGCCCTCGAAACTGGTTGGAAGGGAGGTTGACAGTTCCCAAGGCATGAAGCATGGCATTCAAGTGAACGAGATCTGAGAACATCGGGCCTCATCTCCAGTTTGAATCCTTTGGAATTCAAAATCACTTTGCCAAAATGGGATGTCACAGGGAAGTCAAACGGTGTCAGAAACAATCCATAACAATCCGATCAAATCTGGTCGCTCTAAGTCCATACTTTGCTTGGGAGTCTGACATCGGTGTTGGCCGTCAACTGCTCAAGGATTTTGTCCTTCACATCGTTTAGGCCAAACCTGCAACGCGGTTTTTCCCATTCAACGGAGTGTTGGAGCGGCTGTTGGGAAGCCCAGATCATCATAGATTATCCCTAATCTGTAACGTCCGCTCTCCCATGCGAGTAAGTGTCAGGATGACCAATAGAAAAGGACACCTTTAAGAAAAATACGCTAAGGAACACGCAATTCCCCAAAACCAGTTGAGAAATATCTCGAGAAGTTCAATGCTTAAGTCTTCCCATTTTTATGACCACGTTTAGCAATATATGCATGCTATATGCTTTAAATATCCCCACTTTTGCTGGAATTGAATTGCCTCAAATGGATTCAAATGGAGGTTTCCCGCGGCTCAGTTTCCAAGCTTCCCGCACCTCTCACAGGTTGAAACTCGATCTAACAGATTCGCTGTCGTCAGGTTGCGTGCCAACCAACGCGATGCCTGGCAAAGAATGTGTGGCTATAGAAGCTGAAACAAGTATAAGAAGTAGTTCTGCACTGCCCTCCTTCCATTCGGATTCATTCTGAGTGCACTCTGCAGACATCTGCATCGTGCACATGTTTCGAGAGGAGTCGCAACTGAATTGCAGGATGCCCGAAAAATTTTGGATCAGAACTGAACTGAAAATGATCTCGTTGAACTGCCAAATCTCCCATGGCGGCCCCACACGGTCTTCGAGTGCAGACAACTCAAAGTTCCGCGCCAGTGCCAGCACGTCACGATTCGCTTCCTGGAAATGACTAGAAGGAGCGGTACCCCCCTGAGGATTGGGGAAATGGCCATGGCCTAATTATTCAGTTAATCACTGTATTAGATATCATATCCGGATATTTAGGGATAGGGCTATGGCTCAATAGATCTCAATAGCTATAAATACCAGCATTACAGCATATTACAGCTATTTTGATGCTCACCGGGCAGATTTTGCCCATCCCATCCCATCCCCATATCTTAAAATGCTTCAGTAACATTCAATACCGGCAGTATATCTCCAAATATCTCCCAGTTGTTCGAGTGCATAGGCACAAGGTGGAGATGAGCAAATCGGCACAATTTTTTCATATGAATTTTGATGTAGTGTTGTGAGCCTGAAATTCGTTTCTTCAACACAAACAACTGCAGAATTGGCTCAGTGATCCGGGCGCCTCCGAACTTGGATTGTAGCACCTGGAACCACACTTTGTAAGAACAGGATCAACCGATCAACCAAGGAAATCCGAAAAGGTATGGGTGTTTTTTTGCAAATTGGGTAGAACGTATACCACCAAAATACATCAAAATACCATTCAATAGGGAACACCATGATTGCCACTGCCCCATTGTCTAACAGACCCATATTACCTTATTCAGCTGTTGAGCAGCTGTTTTTTTTTCAATGTGATGCTGTTCAGTGTCACTCATGCGCTGACCGTTGTGACATGGAACAAAAATCCAAGGCTGGGAACGGAAGCTCTATGGATTTGGCCAAGAACAGGATGCAAAACAGGATGCCCCATTTTTTTTCATGCAAAAAAATTGCTTATATAATCATCATTTTCCCGAACACCATCGTTTTCCAGCCATTTTGAGGTACCCTCTGGTAATTTAACAAACTATGGAAAGATCCGCCATTTTTCATGGGAAAATCCACTATTTCTATGGCCATTTTCAATAGCTATGTTAAATCATCAGAGGGTATATCCCACTAAAATCCCATTGAATCACTATAAAAGCCCATTAAATCACTATAAAATCCCATGAAATATCATCAACCACTGGTGAAATCCCCGGAAACCCCTTTTGGTGCCAAACCCATCACAGTTTTCGCCCGTGCCATAGACCTGAAAAGCGACTGTCTTTCCCCCGTGAAACTGGCCTTCAAACATTGCACCCATAAATGGGACAGACTGGGCATATCATGGGGATATAGTGACATAGTGATCATAGTGGGGATACACATGTATAGATCTGTATAGTACTTTCATTCAAAATTCTCTGATCTTCGACTACCTGAGGCTCCAGCGCAATCAATTAGGGCTTTCACTGCCTTTGTGATGCAATGCTGGAGTGAAATTGACTGAAGGTCTTGACAGAACCAGCCAATGATAATCAAAGAAACCGCACACCTGGGCAAATATTATATCTAAATAGTGTACATAAATATGTGGACATCAAGTCTACATATTGTCTGAAGAATGAGTAGTGTGTGTTATCTTATGTAGTCAGTTGTGTGTGCATGCATGAACATCCACTACACCCTTATTTTTGGAGGGTACATATCACGTGTTCTTTTTACCTACTAGACTGCTTGGGTTGCTTCCCAAGTATATAATACTTGAAAAAAATACAACCCATGTTCATGTTCTTTCTGGGGTATATCCCACATATAACTGGCTTATACCCTCTGGTAAATTAACATAGACCCTGCAAATACCCCATTTTTAATGGAAACAAATCTTCCAACCCCTATCTGCCAGGGTCTATCTTAATTTACTGGAGTGTAATTCGTAAGAACTCACTGATGATTTTCGTAAGTACTTACTTATTAAGTAGACTTAGAAGCTTTATGTATTGCTTTACAAGCCCATCCAACTGTATATAGTCATCTAGCCATCTAACTATAGTACAGTAAGTATAGTTATCTAACTATAGCAACTATAGTTATATCCCCATAAATCCCCTGTAAACCCGTTAACGTTAACGTTGGGTGATCTTCGTCGCCTCGGAATGCTGCACATCGAGCTGTAAAGCTGGAAGGCCATCCACCTGAGGGAAGCGGTCCCAAAAACATGCCTATAATTTATATAGTTGGAATATATAATACATACATATACAGTAAACATATGTGTCTAAATAGATATTCTATATATATATATTCTATATATATATTCTATATATATATATACACACACTTCTGTGTTGTATGGGCGCCGAGGCCAAAATCCCGCGGATCCGCCTGGATTTTGTAGTCCAACATGGCCACTCGCGCCCTCAGCTGAGGACTGCTGGCCGCCAAGACCTCAACTTCGATGCGATGTGGATGATAGCACATATCTCTGTATGTCACTCATATACATATATATATATATAAATATGTACTGTGTATATATAATATATATATGTACTGTGACTGTACTGTGTATATATGTATATATATACGATATACAAGTATACCTATTTATTGATGGTATATACATTACAATTAAGTACACACCTCGAAGATCCTGGAAGCCAAATACCACATTGGACAGTTCCAGTTTAGTCCAACAAAATGAAGGCTGAATGAGGGTGTTTGTGGCTCAACCTTGAGTGCGCAAAAAATGACATGGTCTAATCCCGAAACAACATGAAACAACGACAACATCTGCAAGTGATAGTGCCTCCCATTTTGACTTGTACTCACATTGGTGAAGGTTGCTACATATCTACATGCGCACTATATATAATATATATATATTTTTTTTACACGTGGTTCTTTTGCATTCTTACTACATACATGATATTTCTACATCATCTTTAGATTCTTCAGCTCCCCACCGCACGATGTGCCGGGAATGCCGCCCCACCTGGTGCCGAGATCATGGGACATGGGATCCCTAAAGAGTCTGGGATAAGATATGGGATAAGTCAACAAATATGAAATAAGATGGGAGCACATGTGACATCAGACATTGGGATAATTTTGAATGAAAATCATGGGAGGAGAATAGAATAGACATTTCCATTGCCAGGTTAGGTAAGAAATTTGTAAATATGGGAATTATCTGGATATTTTGCATAATGATGTATATAGTCACTATAATGATGTATATATGGAATACTTGCCCCAAACGATTCACAATCGGAGCTTCAAACGTTGACATACCCCTAGTGATGAACATCCGGTGGCAGCTGCCTGAAGAGACCAGGGCCACATCGCAAAGTTCTTGACTCTGCAAGAGCCCGCGGAGGCCTTGCAACGGAAGAACTCAAGCTGCCGGACATTTCAAAAAATAAGGAAATATCTGTTCAATCTTATTCAATCATGTTCAATCATATTTCAAGATGTTCAAAACAGATGAACTTGAATGTTGTTTTTTGTTACTCTGTATATATTTGATTATATTTGTATATATATATATTGTATATATATATATCTATATTATAGTCTTAATAATCTGAACTTTTTTCGAAACTCACAAAAAGACAGAGATGTCTCCCTGAGAAAAAAATGATCGTCCGCCTTGCTGCAGGAAATGTTCACCCTCCTTGGGCATGGGACCCAGGTCCTTGGTGATTTGCCAGCGCTTGTGGATGAGGCAACGCCCCAAAATTATGTTGCTGGAGTTGCGATGAAATATGGTCAAACCCTATGAAATCTATTGTGATAAAATACTGTTCCTTCTCTTTTTTGGGGCTACTCTAAAACTAAAGATTCCATATGATTCCACCTATCCATCATGATTCATTGTGAGGCTTCTAAGGTGGGAGACCGGTCACGCTGCTCCCTTCTAGCACAGTTCGCTTTGCAGCAAAGGTGTACCCGTTTAGGGTTGCACCTGCGGCCACCTGCGGCCGCCTGCGGCCTGCGGCCACGCTGTACTACTATGAGGTCGATCCGTCACGAGTTCCATTTCACAGCAACTGACGAAGTAGATGTGAATAACAAGTAAAAATGAAATAGGTGATCTTGTGCCGATAGCTGGGCGTGTCTGAAATAGTGGACACAAGAAAAAAGAAAATAAGAATAATGATGATAAACCATCAAAACGCAAGATACCATCTAAGATACCCTATTTCAAGACAAATCCAGCTCATATTTGAAATTGGTACTGCAACAGGGAAGTCTTCGACTCTACTTCGTCAATGCTTCGTCAATCCCTGTGGAATGTCTCTATAGATCTCTACAGTGTCAGCTACAATTCGCCACCATCCACATTTGTGGATGGCGAGGTTGCTTCGCTTTGCATGGCTTCTGCCTATATTCATATTCCACGCATCCCGATTTGTAATGACTGTAATGATTTATGATCATTTCTGGCTTTTTATGGTTACTTTATGGATCTTTATGGCTATCTGAACTTCAATTTGTTTGAATGTGGCATTCCCAAATGCCAGGCAGATCGAGGCAAGACGGTGTTGGCGTCGCACCTTGGATTGTCGGCTTGGGATGGCTTGGGTGGGTTGGGGTAAACATGTATCTTGGGTGGCTTGGGGGTTCGTTTTTTGTGTCGGTTTGGCTCGGGGGCTTTGGGTTTTCGTCTGGTTTAGGAACTGGGTGCCATGTCGATACATCTTGAAAGAGGTGCAGCGACCAGAGTTGTACATTCAAAAGGGTGTGCCTGTATCTTGAGTCAATCAGTATACCTTATCAAGTATTAGAGTTTTACATTCAAAAGATCGTTGACACAGTTTCTTGAGTGACTCAACAATTAAGGTATCAATATCACCTTCATTGATCTATATAAAGTTGATAAGTGACCTGGAAGTAGTTGTAGCATCATGTATCAACCACTAGGGAAAACCAACGTCTGGAGGCACCCGACATAAAATCAGCGACAGATCAGGCAGAGACGTCAAAGATGGACACCGGAAGGCCCACCTGGCGGTGCCCGGAGGTTGCGGAAGATCATGGAAGATGAACCTGCTATAAGAAAAACACCAAAAAGTATAATGGAAAAGTATGGAAAGTTTGATGATTCTTAGTCAGTGGTAACTTCGCAAACTTAGCTTCTTGAACTTGTAGGGAGGTCCAGGATCTGTTTCTGCACGACTCTGGCACCGCTTCGTTTCATTGGAACAGTGGAAGCGTCTTGCCTCTGACTGTGACCGCACATCTTGGAATGTCCAAGTCTTGCAAATCTCACCTGAGTGGAACACTCTGGCAACCATCTCAACTTGCAACCTGTGACCCAAAATAGAAAGATGCCATCCAAAGCTAATTTCAGCACGCTCTACCCAGACTTCTGTGTGTGTTCCCACTTTTCAAATTTTCAGCATGGATTTGGACTTCAGCAAACTCATCATCGAATTAGCCGATACAAAACCATACAAAAACCATCAAAAACCAATTGACCAATTCACCAAGATCTGGACATGACATGGCTGAGTGCAAATTTGGGCGGACCACCATTCTTAAAGACGTCCACCAACAAGTCCTCCTTTGGATCTCCTTGGCCATCGGTCAATGTGGTGATCACGCCCTGGCCTCAGATGAGAGGTGGTGAGTCGACTCAGCCGTGGTATGCCGTGGTGCAAGAGGCTTCGGAAAGCCGCTGAAGCCGAGACTCTGATTTCAACTTATCCAACTTATCCAACTCACTGAACCAAACGAATCTTCAATCATTAATCCTTTTGCTTCACATTGCTTCATTCAACTGAAAGACCCTTCGAAGAAACGCCTCCCCTGGCCCTGGGCCAAGTGGCGCTTCACCAACTTCAACCGGCCCTGTTTGGACTTCTTGCCTCACAGGGCATTCTGAATGCCCTTCTTTGTCACCCAAAATGAAAAAAACACCAACAAAGACATTTAACTTAAAACATACCAAAACACCATCACAGCACCACTCAACCAATCAGATTCTGTCACAGTCTCCTTGATCTGTGACGGGATCCTTGAAAACTGGCCGTGCTTTGCCATCCACGATCGCTTCACCTGTTCAGAAACTGGGGGCTGTGGGGGGGCTGGTTGTTGGAACATTGACATGTTGGAACCCAATCTGTCAAGGCACAGCACTTGAAGGCACATTTCTGAGTGTCACGGTCCATCTTCTGCAACAAAGCGCCACCTGAAATATCATGACATGGAAGGCCGATCTGGACAGCGGTTGAGATTGGTGTCGCGTAGCTGAGGAATATTCATACATATATAATCATATATACATATTATATATATATTATATATATATACAGTATATATATATATAGAGTCATAAATCTATGGGACATGTAGAGTCGAACCCACTACTCTTGCTTCGCAAAAGTTCAAATCCCTGGGAGCGCGTTTTGCAATCCTGGCAACGGCCGTAACTTCAGCCCGGGCCTGATCCAAAGCACACATTCTCAGCTGCCCATTTGTTGTCCTCAGTCCATTCTGACCATATTTCATACATATTCTGACAATATTTCATGCTCCACATTCTCAAGACACAAGAAAACCTCGGGCGGTTCTTAAACGATTTAAACGGCATTACCATCTATTAGATGCAGTATCTGTTGCCATCTGTTGCCTTTGACTTGGAACAAGCAGCTTGCATATTCTTCAAGATCTCTTGCATGGATTCGTAGGAAATTCCATCTCCCTGAATCACACGGATGTAGGATGGCAGCACCTGTCAAAGGCAAAGCTGATCAAAAACATAAACATCGCTGCAAACAACGAAACAGCCACAGCCATGGCCTTGTACCCAGCTGAATTAGTCGTTGGAGGGAAATGCCTCGGACAAATTCCAGCTGTGACGCATGCATTGAAATGGCCGTGTCTGAAAATATGGCACCCATTGGCACCCCCAAAGTTCAAATGAAAAGCATCAAAGCATAATCATTATCAACATTTATCAACCATTATATATCAATCGTTGTGACCTCGCTTTGTCTGAGAATAGCATACCCTAAATCCCATGGTTTATCACCACTTTCCCATATCCCTCTAAACTTGCCATCAATAGGCTTAATCTTAATTAATCTTCATCATCTTTGCTAAAAATCATGCTTGGCTTAATCCATCTTAATTAATCCCCCACCAATCAGACTTCAGTCCTCATCCAAAGCACTTGCCCAGGCGGTTCAGGACATCCACCACGATGGTCTTTGGATCCCCCGAATCGGGACGAACCACCAAGCGCCCAGGAGCCGCACGGGAGGAAATCAAATCTTTCCTCAAACACGTTCGAGAGGCAAACATGGGCACTTGAGAAAAAAAAACCCACCATCCCCAAGCAAAATGGGTTATTCATGGTATTCATGGTTCTAATGTGTTATTTTTTGAAGGGAAGATATGGGAATATTCAAGCTTCGCTCATGTCGCTAGTCTACATTTCTATACATTTCTGACTTTGCGGATGCGTAGGAAGCTCAGCGACAGCTCGGTTCCCCAAAGCTTCTCGCAAGCGTTGTAAATGTCCTCAGCACAACATCCTCCACCAAGCAATCGACGAACATGAGCTGATAGACTGATAGGTCCGATAGGTGAGTTAAGTATGTATCGTGCCTGCAGCATTGCAAAATCCATGCAAGAGTTCAATGTGACTGAGCAGTTGAGACTTTGAGACTCTTCAAAATGGAACTCGGCCACAGCACGTAAGAGTCCGAAACCACCGCGACAATGCCCTCTGGGTACTGCTTCAACATGTTCTCAAACGCAGCCTTTTCACCTGCGACGCTGAACGCATCATGGACTACCTGAGTCACATCTATCCATTTCCTGAAGAGAGCTCCACGACATGTTACGTGACTAAGTTCGAACAACTTAAAAACCATCAAGAGTTCTCATGCCGCTCTGGATTGCCAAAGAAGAGGATTGTCAATAGTAGTATAGGAGTCGTTGATGGTGCGTAATATGTGCGTTATTTTGTCATTTGCAATTCCCTAAGATTTTGGCCGATGCTCGGCCATGCTCATCATGGTCCACCATGGTGCCTGCTTTGGTCCAACTGGTAATGGTCGAATGCTCCGCTGCTGGCACCGAAGTGCCCACAACAGCAGCCAAGGGCAGGTTGTAGTACTCGATGGCAGTACAAAGACCTTCACCCGCGAAACGCATGGAACGCAGTGAGGTTGACTGCGGAAGCCAATCCTGCTTTCATCGTTCTAGGGGTAAAAATTCTATAAATTCTACTCATATGGAGCTGCTGGTGTCTCTGAATGTTTCAACAGTAGATTCAGAATATCATATAAGTAGAAGCCGTCATTGTACCAGTTGCTGTGTGTCTGTATGTCTACATGATATGCCATTGTATACACCTGTAATATGCAGTGTATATATAAATATATGGTTATATATGTGATTAATTATATACCATTACTATATAAAATATATGTACGTGTACAAACATGCCCTATCATTCTCACATAGTATCAAGGATATACAATCTGAACTATATGTACCTAGATTGTACAGCTGTAAACAAAAACTATACAATAAGTGCATACAATATGTTGTTGTTGTTGCTGTTGCTGTTGCTGTTGCTGTTGTTGTTGCTGTTGCTGTTGCTGTTGCTGTTGTTGTTGCTGTTGCTGTTGCTGTTGCTGTTGCTGTTGCTGTTGGTGTTGTTGTTGTTGTTGTCGTCGTTCTCGTCCCCAACATCTCCATGTCCCAGTGTCCCAGTCAGCTTTTCACCTGGCATGGTGTCACTGCCGCAGAAATTCACCAAGTGGGCTGCACCACCAATGGAGGCAGTTTCCATTGAAGAGACACCTTTCGCGGATCAGCTGAGGACGCTGGTCGGGGATCCTTATCTCAATGCTCAAACTCTCACCGAATGAAACCAATCAAACACAATCTGATCGATATATGTTGATATCCATGTATCATATATATCATATATATATATATATACATATTAATATATCATATATATCATATATATCTCCATTCCCTCCTAACGTTGCCTCATTTCCAAGTCATTTCAACCGGGCTTCACCGAAAGGTCACCAGCCGTGATCAGCCGTGATCCAGTCCGCCTCGGCAACCAAAGTCGTTGAGCTGGTAACCCACACTGATCATCTTCAAGGGCACTGGTAGCTTGTTGGGCATGTTCTTGAGATCGGTTCCTTAATGGGAACCACCAAGGGATGAACCTGATGAACCAAGGGATGAACCAAGAAAATCCAAGTGGACCACACCCAAGCTCTACAAATATTCAATTGAGACACATACTGTATCCGTACAAGGAGATCTCGAAAGGATGCAGCTATGTTTATGGTGTACTATAGTGTGCATCGTGTGAGAATGACAGCGACACGGTGAAACACCATGAGTTTTTACCGCAGCCATGACTCCAGTATTGATCATGGCATCAAGAATCACCTGCCGAGTGTGGTTGGGAAACTCAACCCCCATTAACAATCTGAACAAGTTGGATACAACCATATCTCCCAATGACTCCCTTCATTCACCACTGGATAGTAGAGTTTTATCATTTTGCCCGCCGAAAAACTGCTGCAGTTTCTGTACTTTGGTGCTTGAAGCACATTTCCAAGCCAAACTATCACTGGCTGAACTTCGATTGCCACATTTTTCAGGGTACCTGGTACCAAGGTGACCCAGGTGAGCCATTAAAAATACCCCTATCCCATCTCATGATACTGGTTGAAAACGCTTTCCCAATCCCCAGAAGCTTAACATAATCCGTCATAATCCATCATAATCCATCATAATCCACAGTAAATTAGGTAGTATAAGTCCCAACATGTCCCAAGAAATTAACCAATCAACGGTACCTTTTAATGGTGACATCTGTGACTGTGAGGTCTCCCCAGGTGGTCGGTGCCCGCAGTCGCCTTCTTTTGTGCTCGAGATTGCGTGGCCACTGTCATGGGGTACCACACCTGCACCAGAAGCGTCTCCAGGTAGTTGGTTAGCCAAAAGCCTGAAATGGAGAAGCACATCAAGATGGACAGCTGTGCCAGAATGGATGAAAATCTGATTCATACATGATTATATAACATATATATATATACATATACACACCATATAATATTATGCAGTAAGTACATTGAATACAATTACATACAATTTTATATACACATATGGTCATATATTTGTGACCTCATGTAGGAGTCTGATAGCAATCAAGGCACATTTCGGATCAGTGTTGACAACCTAAGGACGGGTGTGCGCATAACTTGGTGGGTGATCCCTGCTGTGTTCGATAGCATGTTCAAAGACCCCTAATACAGGGACCCGACTCCATGGTGAGTTGGAAAAATTACAAAGCACTTCAGCATGTGTTTATAAATTCAAATATTATAGTATATTATATTATGTTATATTAAATTAAATATTATGAATTAAGATTTCAAAACAATTCAGCTTCCGCAACACTTTCTTTTTCTCCCATCGTACAGCTGGATGTAAAAGACATGTCCTTGAACGGCTGGATTTTGCACAACCCTTGCTGAGGGAGTCACGGTCATCAGGACATTCTTCACAGGAACCACCATTCCCTCTGGGGCAGCCTCAAGACTCTTGAAATTTCGAGCAATTTTCAAGACTCTGGGGTGGGCGAAAGATGGTGAAAGGTCATGAAAGGTCCGGGATATCAATAAACCAATGATATCCCAAGGATATCGAAGGAACTTTCACCATCTTTCACCTATTCCAGTTGTTTCCATGCTGAACCCAACGCCTGAACGCAAAGGAAAAACCGATCAACAAAAACGCACCTTGATGTGGATAGGAAGCTTCCCGCCATGGGCTGAGAGAATGTATTCCCAGCCTTCTCCTTAGGAAAATGAAGAGGTCGAAGATGCTCGATTCGAAGATGCTGGTTCATTGAACCCAAACTTAAGATCTTGTTTCAACATCTTGCTATTGTGAGATTGCCAGCGTTCAAGATGTGTGTTCCGTTCGACCCATCGAAAACCAGGCGTCGGTTGAAGTGCTTCATCTCACCCAGGCCCATGTGGGCATTGACGATCCTTTCTGCAGCGTCAATCTTGGCCCGTGTGACAACCTGAAGTCAAAAAAGGACGCTTGGAACATATTCATTATATAGTACGTATTATATATAGTAATAGAAGTTTAAAGAGCATGTCACAGAAAGTGAACAGTTCAGAAATTGTTCAGAAGATAGGAGACATACAAAGTGAGGCATGAACAAGAGCAGAGCAGCAGACATGACATGCAACCAATGCCAATTCACCAAAGCAGGGAACCTTCCCCTGAAGATAGCGCTTGAGAAAGTACTGCAGCCCAAAGAACACCACCTGGTCGAATTTTCCGCCTCTGGATTCGAAGTACCTGTTCTCGTTATCCGCAAAGGAACATCATCCATGACGGTGTCTTCTTCCCAGTGGCCACGGAAACAGGGAGATCACTGACTTTTCCCAACCCCTCAGAATTCAGCAACATGTCTTACATGTTGGGGCGTCGCACGAGTAAACCTCCGTGGTGTTTGGCGGGTATTGGCGCCAGTGCGAAGTCTTGTAAGAATCGCTCAGCAGCCTCGCATGACACGCAACAAATACAAGCTGGGATCCAGTTTCAGTTCCCCGGTTGCAGAATTTAGGATATTGTTTCACTCTATTTATCTCTATTTCATATCATTCGCAACCATCCTGTTGATCATGCACTGGAGGCGTCTCTTCCACTCCACTTGCAGGTACTCCGTGTTTGTCGTGGTCAACAAAAGCGCCATGGGAACTTCTGAGAACTTGCAGCAAGTGACATAATGTTGTCCAACAGCGGGCTGCGAAAGGGTGCATGGGTTGACTCCTTAGCTTGCAGGATCTGAGAAGTTTGCCCTTCGGAATTTGCCCTAAACAGCAATCAATTCATATCTCGTGGTTTCAACCCATCCCAACAAGGGAGTATGTTGGAATCATGATCCCAGGTCAGATACATTGAAACTACCATCAAGATATCTGTGGTGTGTCCAGAAACTGGCACATCCAAAGAATCCAAAGCATTTTCCCCAAGAATACAAAATCAGCCAGAAATTGTTGGGCTTTTAGGCTTCGTAAGGTCGGGAAGGCAATTCTCGGACTCAAGCCTTCTCTACGATGGCATAAACCAACAAGAACTGGGGTTAAAATGTTATCAGTTAATCCTTTAAGCATATAATATATATATAATATATCTATTACAGTATATATAATATGTATATATCATATATCATATCTATATGATTCTATATATATATATAGAGACCTATTTCATACTAATCTTAATCTGAAAGTTACTTAAGATATGTGATATGTAAGTCTAACAAGTCAAGTGTTTCACTTCAGCGCCGAAGTCTCCGGGTCAGTCACTTCCAGGCTGTCCACCTCAACCTTGGCACAGACTCCACCCATCAGCACCTCGGAGGTTCGACCATCTGGGAACATGGCAGGGCTAAGCCATCAGGGTCCAAGAAAAATGTTGGAAATTGTTGGACACATATTGGAAACATGTTGGAAACTTGAGATTCAAGAAACAAAAAATGGTGATTCAACTATCAAGATTCGGGACGCAACGAAAACGAGATTCAATGGATTGGTTTGAGGGAAATCTTCACCGGAAACCATAGCTCCAGCCTAATTCTCGGATATTAGGAGCATAGTAGGGAAACAGGGTGAAGAATGACATTTAACAATGAAATATAATTGGATATCATTGGTATTGCACTAACAAAACTCGAGTTTGGATGAATTTGTCCAATTTCTTCTGGCATTTTGAATGAGAAACCTATTATAACAAATTACACAACATGGGGATATAGTGGGATGTTTTTGTTTTTTTCTGAGATGCGTCTAAGGGTTTAGCTCGACCATGAGATGGGCAACATCTTTTGACCTGAAAATATGTGGAAGTGATGATAACCACCCCAACAAAGTCTGTGCTTGAACGACGTCGCCGGTATATGTATATAGTACATACATATAAAGCATATCCTTTTTGAAAAAGTGTCAACATATTTCAGCTTCATTCCTGTGACAATGATGTCTGGATCTGTACAGCCAGCATTGTTGTGGAACCGTCACACCACCAACTGATCCAAAGGGACAACTGACAACGATGGAATCGAGCAAAAATCGACTGTGCATCATTTCCTGCTGATGATCTTTGACCTATAGCATCTATGGCCTGCAACCAACAGTCCTCTGGTTCACACCTTCGAAGTCCTGAGTCTCTGACCACCAACTGACGCCCAGGCGGTGTGCCAAGGCAAAGGCAATTTCTTCGCTTCCAAATGGCTACGGACATAACGACGAAAGAAGCTTGGAGACATAAATTTATGGCACTCTCGGACCACTGGAAATTCCGTTTCTTCAAAGATTTATCAACATAGCAACATGTCCTGGAGATTCCTAGAGATTCCTGGAGACGTTGGACTCACTGGCCACCAAGACAAGGTCCGCACCACATCAAGATCCATTGGCGATGCGGACATCCTGCGAAAGCTGGAAGGCTTTAAGCCATTTCAAGTGGTGTTTCAATGTTTCAATGGATCCAACTTGAAACCCTGATGATCATCATTTGCCCGAGTGAAATGGCACTTTTGAATTGGTCTGCCCCAAACAAAAAATGTACAAACCACAACTGAGAACAGGTCGCCTGCAGGTCAATGCAGCCAGGAGCTGCTACGGACTCGAGCTGCGGATCCGTTTTTTTTCTTCCTTGAGCCCAAAAGAATATTTAAGAAATAGCCCTCGAATGTGCAACCAAGACAACCAAGATTGAAAAACAGTTCAGAAGCATGATGAAACATGAATTCATATATAAAACTATAAAAAGGAATGATCATAATATATCAACATAGGCTAACATAAATCGCGTTTTGGTGGTCTGATTCAACTCTTGGATGCGCATTGAGTACTGTATTTACACGTCTTGTGCGAAATCCGGTACCACCCTTCTATGGACTCCCATGAATTCCAGAAGACCCTGCAGCCGCTTCCCACCTGTGCGTCAAGGAACCATTGGACCTGAAGCACAAATCAACACATTGCATGTGGATCCAGAGTGATCCAGATGTGGTCGGTTCATGCCATTTCTTCGAACCCATCCAAATCCGAAGTCCAAGTACAGCAACTAAAGGCTCTACACCAGTCAACCATATTTGGGGACACTTCGTCTGTCTCTTAATCTCTGCACTGGCAGTTTTGTGCCCTGGCAGGCCAGAGTTTGATGGTTTCCCCTACCACATGAAATCCGCAATTCATCTCTTCACAATGGATGCATCCTTCTTCATCTGACATGGTCAAAAGGATCCCTTGCGCACCTCAGAACCCTGGAGGTGCTCTTGCCATGCTTCCAACTCTAGGAGTTTCGTCAACCTGGGCCAAGTGTCAACACTGTGTATGGGTATCATTTAGATTCATTATCATTCATCTACCTCACCTATCCTCACCTCTATCGTTTCTCTCTCTTCATCCCTGCCAGTGTCTTCTGTCAGAGGTTCAGGAGTCAAGAGTAAACTAAGCAGCTCGCCTGGATCAGCTGAGACTGCTGGAAAATTGGTGTTAAAAATGTGACAAGTCTGTAAGCAAAGCTATACACACGCCCGCGAGTCACTAAGTCTAAGCTTGAACGCTACTAGGCATCGGCCATCGCCGCGATGTACTCAGCACTCATGATTCAAGCCCCGCCGCACTGAAACCTATTTGTTTCAGTGAAGCAAAAAAGGCCTTCCTTTTCTAGTCTACGCACCTCCACAATATCTGCCCAAATCTGATCTTCGGAGCCAGCCAGCACCAAAATGCCAGCAAAGGTGAAAGTGTCCACAGTGACTTCCACTGCAGATCCGGGTGAAATAGATGTGTGCAATTCGAGGAATGAATCCATCTTCTTCATCACCTCGTAGCCTGGTGTGCTTGCCACAATGCCAGAAGAATAAGAGATGAGAAACACCACCAGACCTGAAGCTTGAAAGGCCCTGGGGACATCAGGCAAGGCATCAAAGCGCTTCTGGTCGATGCAATCAAGAACCGCATCAGCATGTGAAGTCCCAGTGAGCAAACGTGCCAAAGAGATAAAGGAGCCGTTGCCACCCATGACCCTCACGTTGACTTCAATAAGACAGGGACCATCAGCAGTCATCATGACTTCTGTGTGGGTCGCGCCGTTCTGAATGTCCAATGCATCAAGCACTGAACGAGTGTATGGGATCAGATCACTTGGACAGTCCTTGGACTCCACTGGACGCATTGCTAGATAGACAAAATCACTACCATTTGCCGGTTGCTTCTCATAGACCCAAGTCATGATAGTCTTGTGCACTCCATCCCGAGATACTTGGTCCACCACATACTCCTGGCCAACCATAAATTCCTGGAGCAGAATTGCATGATCAGAGGACGCAAATCTTCTCTGTGTGGCTTGCAAGTGTCTGAAATGCTCCTCTACTGCCTTCATGGAGTAGCAAAGTTTGACTCCATCCGTGCCTGCAGACTGCACCGGCTTCACCACCATAGGAAGCCCCAATTCCCTGCAAGAATCTCTCACCTCTTCCCATGCACAGCCACAAACTTCACGAATGGCACGGCAACCAGCAATTCCTTTGAGCACACTGCTCTGCAAATGTTTGTTTCGGCGGTCACCTGCGGGAAAAGGTCGGTTCCCAGAGCCGTTCGCAAGAAGGCCAAGCCAAATGGAAATGAGATCCGCCAAGTTGACACCTGATTCACTGCCAGGAATGCAAGCTATAATTGCAGAGCCTGGACTGAGAGCACCTTTGATTGCCTTCACAGTTTCAGGAATGGAGACTTGCTCTTTGACTGCCTTGTAGACTCCTTTGTGGCTGATAGGCAATGACTCTGCGCGTTCTTTACTCCACAAGACGAGGACCCCGAAGCCGCTAGACAACACGATGTCCACCAGAAGCGCTCCAGTGGAAATAGGGTCAGTCAGCACAACCACAGGTAGGGCCTCCATTGATGGAAGGGTTTTACGCTTGACAAACCGGTAAAAGACAAAAAGGCCTTGAGCCATGTAGCACATATAGAAACCGATCAAATCGATGAAAATGACTGGACTGGGTCAGGGTGAATGTTCGCCAATGTTCGCCAGGGCAACAGGACCAGTTGGGGGCCCTGCACATAGAAGACTCGTGATCTCCAAGCCTTCCGCTTCACCTCGAAAAAATCTGGACACTGGATCTGCCTGGATCTGCCTAGATCGGGTCAGCTGAGAACCAAACACCCACGTCGACTAGGAAGGCAGCCATTTGCCTTGCTGAAAGGTGCACTACTAAGCCACTAAGCTATCTCACTACATCTCACCACTGCCATCTCAACGTCAGAAATCGGGTCATTAAAGCAACATGTGCAAACAACGCCCACTTCAGTTCTACAATTGGAATGAAAAGATTGACTTCCATATTTAGGTCACTCCTGCAGGAAATCATTCCTTCGCTCCCTCAATTACCGGTGCTGTTTGTGAATTTGGCCAAGGTGCGGTTTGGGTTCGAAACCTTCCAAACTCAAACGGCCCTGCGTGCCAGCTCACTGCCATGGAGCAGCAAGGTTTTTTCGAAGACATGTGCTGAAATGTGTTCAAAACAGCTGAGGCTAAAGTCCCTCTTTTACAGCACAGTGGTAACACTCGACCCGCACACATTCTGATTTGAAATAATTCAAAATGTCCAGCATTGTCTATTCAAGCTATATTATAATACGAGTACGGGTGGTAACTTACGCCACAATCATAATCTTACCCCACCACATGGCACACAGCTTACCCCACAACCTAAAGAACTTGTGCCATAGCCAAATCACCACGGCACACCGACACCTATCCATATATGTGCACATTGTGTTCATGAAATTCCTATGCAGACTGCAACGCTTTGGACCGTTTTTTTATCTGTCTTAGACCTGACACAAAGCGCTGTAAACCGCATGGCACACCATCAACTTGACCTCTAGAAGACCAGGAGTTCTACATGTCATTCTCATTGGCGGACTCTCATTCCTACCCTGGGAAAATATACTCACAAAAGGCTTTTCCCAGTGGCACACCAGGAACATTCCAGCACTGAACAGTACAGCACAATGGCACTGAGATATTCAAGGTACCGCTTGACAGCGTGATTTTTACGAGATCCGTACGAGGTCTTGACGAGATCTGTACGAGATGGGGATTTTGCAAGGCAAGGCAGCAGGGCAAGGCAGCAGGGATCTTTTCTACTCTTCCCTTCTCTGCTCTACGCCTCTCTAATCACTTCTACTCTTCAATATCTTCGATTCTCTTCTCGACTCTACTCTTCTACTCTTCTACTCTACTCTTCTACTGTTCTCTCTTCTGTGTGAGTCAAGCTATTGAGAAACCATCCCCATGAGTTTCTATCTCAAAGAGAATATGTCTCAAAAACATGCGTGCCCCTGCAAAGTGTTAGAAAAATCAATGCCACAAACAACTGATTCATCCAGTAAGAATGACATGTATATCATGGACTTCCCAACGGCACACCGTTTGCGGCACAAGAAGACAACCGCGGCACAAGTTACCACCCTGACCCAGTACATTGTTTCAAACGGTCCAAGATCATAGTCTGGCAAATGCCATGACAATGACCTGAGAACCTTCGGAGTAAAAAGGAGTGATAGACTCCTCTATCATCTCTGCTTCTTCCTTGTTCTTTCAAAGCTTTTTCCTAAACTTTGGTCACTTTGGTCATTTTGTTTTGTGCAGGGTGCCTTTGCAGCTGCCTTCTTTTCAAATGCTTGCCGCACCTCAGGGGTGAGATGGGAGGATGAGATGAGAAGAAGATGAGCACGAAGAATTAACATGTCTTGACAGATTCGTCTTGTTGCTTGCTGTTCCCTGCAGTGGTGTTACACTCAAGATTCCTGATCTTACTTCAGAATGTGAGCAACTTCGGTCTTAAGTCTTAAGTCATTACTGGTAGAATCCTTGTTAATAAAGGCTTATAAGGCTTAAGGACACCGTCAGCCTCCCGAGATGTCTCCAATCACCAGGTGCCCTAGGAATCCCTAGGACTGCATGTTGAACTCCGTTCCCTAGAGGCACTTTTGGAACGTCGTCACGTGACCCTGACTCCAAGGGTCGGCAAACAAGCCAGTGGTTGCCGACGTTTACATCCCAAGGCCGTCAGTGATGGACTGAGACATCGAGGCCTTGCTTCCACTGGGTCCGCGACGGCACGGTGGAAAGTCTCAAAAGCCACCTGAACCTGCCAGGCAGCCAGGCACACCAAACCCCCAAATCTACTGGCTTCATCTGGCTTCGGCCTAGTTCAGCTGGGTAGTATTGGATAGTATCAGTACATATCAGTACAGTAAGTACAGTATAGTATCAAACACGGTGTTGGGGGTCGGTGGGTGCTTTTGATGGCCTCTCTGTCTCTTTCAATATCCCCGTCTCTCGCGCCTCATCAGAGTCTCCACCGGCGGCATAGTCCAACGCCTCCAGCATATCCAAAGTGTGGCTTTCACACCTTTCTGTCCAACTTTCACGGTGATGTTCTTAGAACCTTGGATGTTCTTGGTATTTCTTGGTCATATCTGGCAAAGTACTGCCCAGCCATCCGCTTAAAAAGGTATGGAAAAAGTCCATCCCTGTGGAAATGCCAGGCCTCTGCTTGATCCCTGCTCTTAATCAGTAGATCTTCCAGCGACTCCTCTGGCCTTCTAGTTGCCCTGTCACACAAATGCTTGGGGATAGATAGCGGGTCTCTTCAGTGCAAAACCAATCAACTTGATGCCACACCTTCGCAGACGCTTCTCCCGCATGACTTTGGCATCTGCCTCCACGGCGGCGCGACGCCTCAGTGTGCCCAAACTTGCCACACTCTGGCATCATCTTCAACCCACACCAGGATGCCATCAAATCAAACGCCTTGTCTCACCATGTGAACTTTGTGACTCAGCTCCCACACGTCGGGGAGATCAACGGTGGCGATGGAGCCTGGTGCCCAACGCCCAATCCAGGATCCAACATGATCCAACCAGGCTCCCCACTGTGAGACCCGCCTCCACAACCTTGAGCAAATCAGGTTCCGGAATCTTCGACACCCGGCGACGTTGCAACATGGGCAGCGCCAGCAGCAGCTCCTGTACTGGTCGACTCCCCGGTGGGAGATTCACTTGGCTTGAAAGTATGATACGAATTCATCAGTGACTTATGACTTATGACCTGTCTTATGGATACCTACAGCATCCTACGGTATCTTTCTTATCTTTGGATACTTTTCCGGTACTTGAGCCATTGGGAACCCATTTCTAGGCACGAGCTTAGCTCCTGAGGCGTTCTGGCCAGAAGGCCTTCACGGTGATACACGTCCAGCCACGAATCACACCTGTAAAGCAGAGCTGAATTTCAGCGATCTGACATGCTTTAGGTGCAATACAGGGCAATATCAAGCACAACATATCGTGCTAACTTCCTGAGAAGGGTGCTGCAAGAGCACATTCAGTGAGCAGTGCGTCTGGCGCCGGTACCTCGCAGCAACCCTTTGGAGCCCTGGAACATCCTAGAACTGACAACGTTTGGAGATGAAAGTGACGAAAGCTGTCAAAAGTTGCCATGGGTTTCAGAAGTAACACATCTGACCTTGTGATGCTCCTTGAAATCACTGCCCTTAAGGTCACTGGCGCTTTTGCTGGTGAAGCTCCAGCAGGAACGTCAAAATTCTTCCCTGGTCAGCTTGGATGGCATTGGACTTTAGGATCATATAGGATCATACAGATGTTTTTTCTTGCACAGCTTCAGAAAATGCTGATGTACAAAACAGAATTCATCGCGCTGGAAGAAGTTTCTGTGACCAGCTGATCCTTTCGGATCCTTTCGGATCCATTTCGGCCTTAGGTTCCAAGAAGCCCAGCAGCGTTTCAGGCTGCTCACGGCGGAGGAGTTGTTCCTTGGGAGTCGAGGATAAATAGGATAAGGGGGTGACATCCGGGATGGTTGCCACCGTTGCCACCTGCAAGGGAGTGCAACATGGTGCTACAATCTACCACAAGTGCCACTGCTACATGGTGCTACACTGTCTGCTACACAGGTGTCACAGGAAACCTCTGTTGGTTTTCGCATTAAACAATGGAAGAATCTTCCCGCACCCAGGGGGCCAGGCTGTGAATGTCCACGGGCCCCACTCATCAATCTACCAAAGTATATCAGTATATCTTTTTTTCTATGAATTGCTATCTATTTTGTGGGCCTCAAGGTGACCACGCTTTCACCAATTTCAGCCATGGTTCTGCCCGTGAGAGCGCTGTCAAAAAGGGCCTCAACTCGCAGGCCAAAGAAGCAAGTCTGCAGGATGAAAGCGTGACCGGTAGACCGGTAGACTGATTCTCCTGATTTTCCAAACACATTTTCCAAACACCTGTGTACTGGTCAGTACGACATTGCATGATTTTGCGCTGTGTGTGTGTGTGTTTGTGTGGGTGCTGGGGATACTTATCCTTCCCATAGGTCACTGCAGCATTATTTACCAGCAGTGCACGATGCACTTCTTCTCATTGCTTTAGATTTCAACTGGAACAGAACGAGTGCGTTGCTGTGAAGATTTTTATTGAACAAACAAGGACCAAATTGGAGTCCGAGACTTTCTTCTGGCTTCTCCCCTTCCGTCAGGCCTGAACTTCTCAAGCATCTGATCATACTTTTTCTGATCTGCTAGGTCAGACATACCTGGAAAGGGTGTAGCAGAGCACAGTTGGGCGTAGCATGGTCTACCATGGAACGGCTACTCGTGAGCCTTGCAACCTTCTGCAAAGCTGCTTGGTGTTCCGGGAAACAGGACAGAGCTGAGACAACAAGGCAAATCCAAAAAGGCCCAGTTCACCAGGTTCACCATCTGACAAAATGTTTGACATCACAGTCCCATACTCGCCCAAGTTCCCAGACATTTCTCAAGAAGATTCTTCGTCTCTTCAAGCTCCTTTTGAGCCCTGTCGCTGCCAGCATCCAACAAGCAGTTTCAGCTCAGTCCACGGGAGGGATGGGACTTCGATTGAACATACGACCTGTACGGATCTGTACGGCACTATCTTGCCATTGAGACCCCAGCTTCTCTGCATCCACTGGCGGTGCCAGTGACATTCGCCGCAGCTCCCTCGCAGGTGCTAACAATGCCTGGTCACTGGAAACAGCGCAAAGATATGCATCAAAATATGCATCATCAATCCTTGACATTCTGCATGGACTTGGTGCTTGGTCGAAGATCCCCAGGCGCTATGCCCCTGGCCTCATGAGACAACTTTCCTATGCTGGAAGTGCTTTGCCGTCGCTTAACAACTTGCTCAGGCTCTTTGCGCTCAAAGCACCTGCATCACTGGGGTGTAGTTGCTGGACTTTGCAGGGGCTGAAACAGACGCTTCGGGTCAACGACCACTTTGGGTCAGAGAGAATGGAAGTCTGACGTCTGAAAGTTCATATTTTATCATATTTTCCAGAATTGCGTTCCATGGGAAGGTGACTCATGTGTTTCCAACACAATAATCTGGAAGAATCTGGGTGTGATCAAAAACATGCACGAACTCTGCTTGGGTGATGAAGTCGTCTTTGCTGACATTCTGAAATGGAAGGTCAACAGAGCTGCCTCTGGCATCATTCATGTTCTATGTCCCACCATATCACGCCAGCATCGTCCAGCTTCTAGACTGTTTTAAAGCATTCCAAAGCAACATTCTGATTGACTTTGATCTGTATAGCCTTCAAAAAATCGTCTAAACATGAAACCAATCACACAGAGTTCTCTCAAATGTGGACCATATCCGCCGACCCCGGCAGACGCAAGGGGGAGTGCGTAAGGGAAAAAGAGTTTATGACACAGCTGCCAGGAAAGAATAATAATCCGCCGACCCCGGCAGACGCAAGGGGGAGCGCGCCAGGGAATAATACTTTTGACTCTTGTTTCGGACTACTACCGCAGCCGGCGCCGCAGCAGCAACTACTACTACTACTACTACTACTACTACGACTACGACTACGACTACGACTACGACTACGACGACTACGACTACGACTACGACTACGACTACGATTACGACGACGACGACGACTACTACTACTACTACTATTACTACTACTACTACTACTACTACTACTACTACTACTACTACTACTAGGGTTTCTTCTCCGGCGACTTTTGGCGTGACGCCCGCGGACCCTGCGCTATGCAATCACTTTGTGCCATGGTGTTTTCTCGTCCGGGACCACCACCAACAACAACAACAATAACAACAACAACAACAACAACAGCAACAGCAACAGCAACAGCAACAGCAACAGCAACAGCAACAGCAACAGCAACAACAACAGCAACAACAACAACAACAACAACAACAACGGGGGATGTCTTTTGAATAGGAGGAGCAGCAAGAACAGCAGCAAGAGGAAAAAAAGGCCAAAAGCATCATTTTCTATGGGTTTCAGAAGTTACGTTAGGCATTTTCGGGGTGCAATTTTGGGGCTTCTCCGTCCTTCAGAGGCATGGTGTTTCGCCCCGGGAGGTGATTTTTTCCATGGTGTTTTCCTATTTGGGGACCGGATGTAAAGGTAGCTAAAATTCGTAGCAGCAGCAAGAGGAAAAAGGAGCCAAAAGCATCATTTTCTATGGGTTTCAGAAGTTACGTTAGGCATTTTCGGGGTGCAATTTTGGGGCTTCTCCGTCCTTCAGAGGCATGGTGTTTCGCCCCCGGGAGGTGATTTTTTCCATGGTGTTTTCCTATTTGGGGACCGGATGTAAAGGTAGCTAAAATTCATAGCAGCAGCAAGAGGAAAAAGGAGCCAAAAGCATCATTTTCTATGGGTTTCAGAAGTTACGTTAGGCATTTTCGGGGTGCAATTTTGGGGCTTCTCCGTCCTTCAGAGGCATGGTGTTTCGCCCCCGGGAGGTGATTTTTTCCATGGTGTTTTCCTATTTGGGGACCGGATGTAAAGGTAGCTAAAATTCATAGCAGCAGCAAGAGGAAAAAGGAGCCAAAAGCATCATTTTCTATGGGTTTCAGAAGTTACGTTAGGCATTTTCGGGGTGCAATTTTGGGGCTTCTCCGTCCTTCAGAGGCATGGTGTTTCGCGCCCGGGAGGTGATTTTTTCCATGCTGTTTTCTTATTTGGGGACCGGATGTAAAGGTAGCTAAAATTCATGGCAGCAGCAAGAGGAAAAAGGAGCCAAAAGCATCATTTTCTATGGGTTTCAGAAGTTACGTTAGGCATTTTCGGGGTGCAATTTTGGGGCTTCTCCGTCCTTCAGAGGCATGGTGTTTCGCCCCCGGGAGGTGATTTTTTCCATGGTGTTTTCCTATTTGGGGACCGGATGTAAAGGCAGCTAAAATTCATAGCAGCAGCAAGAGGAAAAAGGAGCCAAAAGCATCATTTTCTATGGGTTTCAGAAATTATTTAGGCATTTTCGGGGTGCAATTTTGGGGCTTCTCCGTCCTTCAGAGGTATGGTGTTTCCTTGCCGGGAAGTGATTTTTTCCATGGTGTTTTTCCATCCGGGGACCAGCCGCAGCAGCAGCAAAAGCCTCTGTAGTTGCCATGGTGTTTTCCCATCTAGGGACCAGCAGCAGCAGCAGCAGCAGCAGCAGCAGCAGCAAAAGCCTCTGCAGCAGCAGGAGGAACAGGTAGCCAAAATTCATAGCAGCAGCAAGAAGAAAAAGAAACCAAAAGCAGCAAAGCAGCATTTTCTATGAGTTTCAGAAGTTACTTAGGCATTTTCGGGGTGCAATTTTGGGGCTTCTCCGTCCTTCAGAGGTATGGTGTTTCGCCCCCGGGAGGTGATTTTTTCCATGGTGTTTTCCCATTTGGGGACCGGATGTAAAGGTAGCTAAATTTCATATCAGCAGCAAGAGGAAAAAGAAGCCAAAAGCATCATTTTCTATGGGTTTCAGAAGTTACTTAGGCATTTTCGGGGTGCAATTTTGGGGCTTCTCCGTCCTTCAGAGGTATGGTGTTTCCCTGCCGGGAGGTGATTTTTTCCATGGTGTTTTTCCATCGGGGGACCAGCCGCAGCAGCAGCAAAAGCCTCTGCAGTAGCAGGAGGAAAAGGTAGCCAAAATTCATAGCAGCAGCAAGAGGAAAAA